CACCCCAGGAGCATGACACAGCCTCGCTCCTCACAGCACGGGATGAATTGCAATATCCTAGCAAGAACACATCGCTTTCAGAGCTGTAACCAATATACAAGTCCATTGGCAGCAGATGTTATTAATGATGCCAATACATATTTTCTTATTAATCTTCCATACTAGGCTTGTGTCTATCTGCAAATGATTATCATTCATTTTCCTGACAAATCTATCAAGATCATTTATTACTGTTCAGCAAAGGATCTTCTTTTAAACAGAGATTAATAACGTTGCATTTTATCTGGCTGGCTGAGCCAAAGGAAATGAAATTAACAATGAGCCCTACAAACATGTCATCACTTTAATTTACCGGAAAATACTTAAAAATGTTATTTAAAAGAATATACGCTGCGGTGGGCACAGCTCATTACAAAGGAAAGAAATGAAACCACATGCATTTTAGCAGGGTGGAGAGTAAGCTTGCTAACAGTGCACCCTGTTTCCTCTGGCTCCTTGCACTTGTTTTCTGAGACAAGGAGAAGCAGCTCCTACAGCCTCTGTTGGGCAGATGGGCACCTGCCTAGGTGAATTGCAGCTGATTGTCACTGTTCCTGGGTTAAAGCAGACCCTTTAAAACATGGGAGCACAAAGATCTGCATGCAGAGAAACAGGGCTTTATAACCATGGAAAGGCAAAAGAAGGGATAAAGCCAAAAGGAAATGATAAAAGACAAAATATAGAGGGAAACTTCACTGGGGTAAAGCTCATGGAAAGGAGGGCATATAGGCTACAAAGGCCCAGCATCTGCTGCACTTTTGGTCCAAAGGAAGAAAACAAACTCAGTAAATGTACACTGTTTAGATTCCTTTCTTATGCATTCTTTCACTTCCCTTTCCTTTCTCTTCTCTTCCCTTCCCAAGTAAAATAAGTATGCACACAAGAACGTATCAGAAACCCCCTCCTACTTTTACTGCCAATAGTAATGCAAAACCTTAAAACCAGCTTTGCCTTTGCATTGCTTTGTTCATACTCATGAACTTACATTTTGAGACCTGTATTTGTGTGGGTACCCACCACTGTGCCTTCACAGGACTTTCCCCACATCCTGGCTCTGGGCTGTGACATCTCCAGCAATGGCAATCCCACCACTCCCCTCCACAGCCTTGTGCCTGGGGGGTGCTTCCCCCCCATCCCAGATAATTCAGCCCACTTCTCCATTTCTCGGTGCACAGTGCTCCCAACACCAGCACCTCACACTCCTCTTCCTTGCCAAGGGGGGAAAGGAGAAGGTTGTTTGAAACAATTTCACATGACATAGTCAAGAAGCATCTCTCCTACAAATACCAAGGTTAACTTCTTACCTGTGGTGGATTCATCTTCTCTTACCCAGTTACCAGGTTGGGAGCAGTGTTTTAAGCCCCAGACTAAAGAAAATAACTCTGGTAACCTCAAGCTGTAGCAGTTTCAAACTGCTGACATATCGGCAAGAGGATTTCCAGGTGTGAATTCCTGTATCTCTGCAGAGCAGCAAAAGCACACTCACTGAACTGGCGGGTATTTAGCCAACACTGTATTGCTACCTAAGTCTTTCTAATTAAAAAGTCATCAACATAGCATAGGTCTTGAAAAGTTTATGACAAATAAGAAAAGCCTGAATATACCCCAAAGCAGGGTTTGGCTTCTCCTCAGATTAAAAGGTAATGAGTTCATAAGTGAAGCATGTTGCCCATCTGTTTAAGCTAGAGCCGTATCTCCAGTTACCCTGGGGACACTCTGTGGTTTGGTAAGTGGCAAGAGCTCAGCTGCACACGTCCAGGTCATACACACTGAAGTAGGACCAGAGTCAGAGCTTCTAGAAGGTCTAATCTACTTTGTCCTAGCATTTACTGGTAGAACTTGTGATCTTTGACTGAGCAATAACCACAGTGCATATGGCAGAATGTCCCTGCCTATTTCCTTACCAAACTAACATATTTCTTTTAGCGTAATTATCAATTTTGGCATAAAGACTGCAAGCTAAGAAACCAGTTTCTGGTTAAGATGCTCTAAAAAGTGTATATATACATATATATATATGTATATATATATAAAGCATACACTCCTTCCTTCTAGTGTGACTGCATCTTGCTCTGGCTTTCAACTGCTGGATTTGATCAAGCCTTTTATGCTACATTAAGCAGTTGTCTGTTATGAACTTACACCACATACATAAAAATCACAGACAGTGCATGCAGAGAAACAGGACTTTATAACCTTGGGAAGACAGAAAAGAGATAAAGCCAAAAGGGAATGGCAAAGGACAAAATACAGTGGTTGTGAAAACCACATATACACTTATTGGGGTACTTTTACTTTCCCCATTTCAGACCAGAAAAATGCTCAAGGAGTCTTTGTTGGTGCTGCCCATCGTTGCCCCAGGTTCCACCACACATGATGCTACTTCTTCCCACGTGTACCGTGACCGTCAGAGCGTGCATTTCTCCACCTTTCTGTAATCAAATGAGTCTTGAAACTCCTACAGGAGAGGCGGAGAATGCTTCTGCCCCAGAACAGCCCCTCAGCCTAAGTACTGGGCACTCTTCAAAGTCTGCTATGGAGTCCTTCGAGGAAAGCAGGGAAGTCTGTGGGCATCCACTGGCTCTTTAATTCCTGACTTTAGATCCCATTTAATACCTGAAGCCATCTTCACGCCTTCCCTCCCCTTGTCTCAAACACCTCTGCGAATCAACCTTCACCACAGTACACGGGGGGATGTTATTTAAGCATGTGCCATCTGGTCAAAGGCTGGCATCAAGGTATCGCTGTACCATTCAAACACAGCCCAAGATTTCATAAGCAAAAACTGAAACACCATGCAGTGCAGTATTACAGATAAGCTGTCCAAGCAAGACCAGATGGCACCACCATGCCAAGGACAACAGACAGATATTAAGTTGTCAGAGTACAAACCAAAGTCAGCCTGAGCTGCTGAGCTCATGCCATCTCTGTGCCTGGTTCCCAGGATCGACAAAGAAGCTGTCCCCTAGGACACTGCAGAAATAGACTCCTGCAAAGGGCACTTGAGCCACACGATGTACCCTGAGGAGGTCAGTGCCATGCAAGGGGAAGTGTGAACAGTACACACGTGTTAAACAGTACAAACATGTATACAAAACATAGGACCAACTGCACTTACAAACAATCAGTTACTGCTCCACGGTGTGGTTTCTCTACTAGACTACTATCAGGTTGGGTTGACGGCACTCCTGATTCAGTATTGGGCTGGAGATCATTGAGGACAATTCCTCTGCCTGCTCTCTGGTTTATACTGGTTTATTACTGCGTGTGTGCATGTGTGAGGGGGAAGGACCACGGCAACCATTTTAAGAAACCCCTAATTTTTGCTGCATTCTGTCAAAACAGGAATGTTGTCCAAAACATTCAGCTGTGACTCGCTGCTGTAGCTTCCACAACGCAACATCCAATTTAATATGTGAGCCTCATAACCAACTCATCCAGTGCAATAGTTCACATCAGTTTGAAGAAAAAAAATCCTGCTGGAAGCACAGGCAAGGAGCAGTGTCAATTTTTCATTAACCTACAGCCACTGTCTCTGTAGACTCACAGCTATAAGTAAGATTACTGTTATAATTTCTTCTGGTCCCCAAGGGGAGGGAAGAAAAACTTCCCAAAACTTTTAAGGTCATTAAACCCCCTCCTCCTGCCTTTAAATTGGAGGCAGTTTCAGTTTACTTTCATATTTCAAAATCAAATCTCAGCTTCAGCTTCACATCAAAGCAGAAATGTCAGTTGCTTTGTTTCTACATCTTCCATGAAAGAAGTTCCAGCTTATACATGAGCTGAATGCCAAGTAAATAGATTTTTCTGGGGAACAAAGGCAGCCTTTTTGTTTGTTTTAAACATATGTAAATAGAGTCCCAGGAGCTGAGCTGCCTGTCACTTCAACCAGGTTTACACTCATGTCACTCCAGCTGGTTATTTCTGACCGACCTTAGGTCAGCACTGCAGAAGTTCCCCTCCCTTCTCCTCCACACACTCAGCATCAAGGAGCCACTCCAGCCCTTTCCCTCCACCCTCATACCTCAGCAAAGGGGAAACAGCTTCATATGTATCCCTGTTTTTTGTTAGTTTCTTCTTTCCTTTTTCAGCTCCAGTTACAGAATCACAGTAATGCTCTGGTGCTCTGTCACAGTCCCCAAGACAGTTCTGAAAAGCTTTTGACAGATCAGATCAGTATCTGACAATATATGGCTACCATCAATAAGGTGTTGGGGCTGTGCTCCTACACACTAGTGTATTAAAGACTGATGTAACTACTCGTTCATGGTAGGGAGAGGCAGGGAAGAAACAGGAATGGATTGGTAAGAAAAATGGCAGGAGGGCACCATCAGTCTTGAGTTTTCCCTTTCCAGTATCAGGCATTTCAACAGTGGAGAGTTATTTTCCACAGAGCCAGAAGACAACAAACAGGAGCACAATCCCCTCACACACTCATCTTCCAGTACTCGCTTTTCTTTGCAAATCAATGCAAAATTAAGAGCACATAATGCTTGTCGTTTCCAAATGGCTTGGGTTATATCTCAATCTTCAGCACTTGTTTGGGGTGTAATACCGGGTAGCACTGAGGGATGCATCATTTCACAGGCTCCGCATAAGCCACAATTGAGAAAAATCCTCAAGTACACAAGAAACCTCAATTTTGATTGGCCAAGTCACCATAACTTATTGATAATTCAAATCACTTGAGTATTATTCAGTGTTTTCTTCTCTCTGCTTTTTTCATCTTTTGACAAGTTTACAAAGAAAAGAATGGAGCAGAGCTTAGCTGCATTACATCCAATATGCTGCCTACACAAACGCCAGAGAAGCTAAATGAACCCCAGAACATATGGCACTCTGCTGACAGGGCTCAGAAACTGGTTCTGCATGAGCAACAAGGAACATCTTGAAACACACAAGACATATGTGTTTTAGGAAGAAGATTGAAGTGTTTCATAATAAAACAGGACAAAGTGAAATACAAGTGCTGTATAAAATTTTAATTAAAAACTGGTTTTACCCCTCAACGTGAATATACAATATGTTCCCCAGATGGATTTCATATTTAAGTATTATCCAAACCAAAAACGTAAATGAGACAAATAAAGCCTTCAAAAATGGCACAGAGGCTAAAATGTATGTAAACACTAGATGACTGTGGTGAAAACAAGGCGGGCAGGGAAAGCAACCTCTTAGCAAATGCTTACTACTGGAGTTCTGAATGAACCAGTTCATACAACTATAGTTAACAACACAATTAGCTAACCGCTCAAAAATTCAAGTCAGTGTAACAATACAAATATAAGCATTAGAATTCACCCCCATTCAGCAATGTAAATAGTGCTTTTGTTACTTCAAAGTTTCACAGGTTATTTCACACATTGATTATTCATGGTATACTAATGCATAACTTGTGGCACGCCATGAGAAGCCACTCTCAAACCACTCTCAAAGCCTTCAGCTTCCCACCCCACCTCTCTGTGAAGCTCTGTCAATGGCATCAGCTCTGCAGGGTTACATAAATGCCTGACCACAGGACAGGGTTTTTGTGCTGTATTCTCAGGATCGGTCAATTCTTATGAACCAAGAGGGATGCTGTTGTGTAACAGCAAACTCCTTTCCCTGAAGAGCTGAGAAGAAGGCTCAGATCACCACTTCTCAGACTGCTAGGTCAGAAGCAATCACCCAGTGCTGAATGGAAATACACATGAAGAAAGAACACAATCTCCAAACTGATCAAGCAAAGAAAAAGATTACAGTTCCTTTATGTTGTCATCCTGACAAATTATCACTGCACTTCAGAGAATTTCTCACTCAAGACAAACAGGGAACAAACTGCAAGTTTTTGGCAAGCCAACACTGGTAACAAAAAGAGCTACAGCTTCATCTTTTAAGGGCTTTGGTTGATGATGTTTTGAATTCCATGGAGAAAGCAGTAGAAACCAGTGCACAAGTGGGGCTTGTGCTTAGTAGTTCACTATGTAATAGAAATACTAGCTGTTCTTGGTCACTTCCCACCACACCAGTTTATTCATTGAAACCGAAAGGAACTGGGCAAAGACTGGTTCTCTGCTGCTACCAGAGACCCTCACCTATCATAGAATCATAGAATAGTTAGGGTTGGAAAGGACCTTAAGATCATCAAGTTCCAACCCCCCTGCCATGGGCAGGGACACCTCGCTCTAAACCATATCACCCAAGGCCTTGTCCAACCTGGCCTTGAACACTGCCAGGGATGGAGCATTCACAACCTCCCTGGGCAACCCATTCCAGTGCCTCACCACCCTCACAGGAAAGAATTTCCTCCTTATATCCAATCTAAATTTCCCCTGTTTAAGATTTAACCCATTACCCCTTGGTCCTACCACTACAGTCCCTAATGAAGAGTCCATCCCCATCATCCCTATAGGCCCCCTTCAGATACTGGAAGTCTGCTATGAGGTCTCCACGCAGCCTTCTCTTCTCCAGGCTGAACACCCCCAACTTTCTCAGCCTATCTTCATATGGGAGGTGCTCCAGTCCCCTGATCATCTTCATGGCCTCCTCTGGACTTGTTCCAACAGATCCATGTCCTTTTTATGTTCAGGACACCAGAACTGCACACAATACTCCAAGTGAGGACTCACGAGAGCAGAGTAGAGGGGTAGGATCACCTCCTTCGACCTGCTGGTCACACTCCTTTTGATGCAGCCCAGGATATGAGATATCATTTGTCAGTGAGGTAGCTCATCAAGATCATCCACAGAAATATTATTCTATGTTCACTTATTTTCACCAGAAACAAGAAGCTAAGTTTCATTGACTTGAAAGTTTCCCCAATTCCTTTACTACTAACCAAATTTCTTGAGATACTCTCAGCATCCTGATAATGATCACTCCATAAACACTGAAGAAATGAACATCATGGTAGGTTTTCCTGTGACCCACAGATTCCACATTACAAGACTTATACAGTTATATGAAAGGTGAAGAATTTTGTTGCATAGCTCAGCATTTCAGCAAAGACTTTGAAGCTTGAAAATCAGGAAGAGTAGATTTAATAAGCTATTCCATGCACATGGACTGAAAAGGCAGAGATTCCTTTCAACTTACTTTCTCTGACAAACCCATGGCACACCACAACAAACTTTTCCACTGTCAAGTTGCACACTTCATTGCACCCCTTGCTCCTGGGGAGAAGATGAGAACAAATGATGTGATAGATGTTAATAGCGCTGATTAGTACACACGGCAGACAGCACTGAGACATCAGGATGACAAAAATGATTTGTATTAGAAAAGAAAAGATATCATGAGAACAATCAGTCTGAGTATGATGAACCCAAATCATGCAAGAGACAGAAGCTGAGCAGGATACCAACGGCAAAAATTAGCGCCTAAAAGCACATGTAGTAAAGTACTTCATTATCTTTTTCAGCCATCTCTTAGACTTAATAGATTTCTATCTTGATAAGATTAACACTTGCTTAATAACTGTCTAATTAAAACATAATAAAACTGGGAAAATTAAAATAAAGCCTCTTTAATAACCTGGAGATGAGATGGGACTTTTCAGCCAGGCTTCCACAAAATAATTTCTGCAACAGTCACCTCAGGATCCCAAAGCACTTCACAGTCATTTAATTAAACTTCAACAGAGCACAGACTCCCCATTTTACAGCTGAGGTAACAATGAGAGGGAGTTTGGAAGACTCTTTAATACTGAGCAGAGCTAAATGTTCTGTTACTTTACCAAAAATATAAATTCCCAACAACTCTAGGTAGAAATCTTTCTCCCCTCACCATTTTGGCAGCCTCTGAAGCAATAGCAAAATACAAACATGTGGTGCAAAATCTAAAGAACAGCTCTCATCATCTTCCAAGCTCCTCAGATTTGGAGTATAAACACTGCTGCCCATCTACAGAATCAACTAGATTGGAAAAGACCTTTAAGATCTGTCACTTCAGGACTGCCAAGATGCTCCTATGTGTCCCCATTACTCATCTTCTCCTGTACCTAGTGGATCAATTTAAGCTTCTCTTCTTCTAGTGGAAAACTTAGATAAGGGAAATCATTAGAGTCTGACATTTTTGCCTTCAATCCACAATAGGTCAATGACTGAGTGATTTCCAAAGCAACTACCACTCACCATCGAAGGATTTGCATTTCTACTGAACACAAGTAGATAGTTTGTGTAAAGCCACCCCAAGATCCTAAACTGTTGCAAGTTATTTGTAGGAATGAGGGGAGGGAGTAAGTAGGAAGCAGACTGACTTAATTAAAATGAAAGTGATTAAAATACTGCACTGAGTGCATACTGCAAGCAACACTGGATGCTGAATAGCATTTGGTGAGAATACTCATGGGTTATAATAACTTGGGGAGGGCAAGAGAAAGAGACAGACTCTACAGAAAAACACTAATTCCTTCTTAATCTAGCCCATTATTTCTAGATTTGAGTAGGCAGCTTTCCTTTAGGAAGTAAAATGATGGGGGTGGAATTATGCCATCCCACTGTCACTAACAGACCACTTTGTGGATGGCAAAAGATAAGGAATGAGCATAGAAAAATGCTATTTAAAGATCCACTCAGGAACCTGGAAATTTGCATTTGATAGAAGGGATTTAAATTGTATTAGAAGGCAAGGTGCACTAAACAATTACAGTTTATTACTACGTTGGTTCGCTGCCTGAACCTATACTTATCACATACTGCAGCAGCAAAGGAGCAGCAGTGCTCTGTGCACTTGAGCTGCATGCATATTAATAAGAGGGTTAGCTGAGCAAACAGGGAAGGGGCCAAATGCTTCTGAAAACAAAGTGGCTTGCAGATTTTATGGACAGATCGGAGTAATTTGGGTTTTAAGTCACATTTCAGAGAAAAGTTTTCCATTAACCAAACCAGATTTCCAGCACAGTGCTTGGAAAAGAACACTCTCTGCTGTATCACAGCATACAAGCTGTGGAATGACTCTGACCCAAGAGAGAAGCACATATCCTGCAGCAGCTGATTCAGAAAGACATTATACACACCATCTCCCCTCGCAGCTGGAGCAGGGCCAAAGACACTCACAGTCTATCTGCTTCATTTGTTGTTATGCTGCATACGAATGCTACACTGAGAATATTCATGCCAGTCAACAACTTCTTTTTTAATTCCCATCTAGTTTTTAACTTTGATGAAAAATTTTTCATCTTTGCTGACAACCTGAAGGTTGCCATATTACTGTATGTTTCCTTTCTTTAGCCAGGGGAATCAGACATACCCTAGCCATTCCTCTGGACCTCTCAGAAACACTACACTGTTTTTTCACCATGGCCTTCAACTTCCTTCACCTCCTCTTTGTGTCCTGACTCATCCATTAAAAAAACCCCAAAGCCTCAGCAGTCAGGCCTTCTAATCCATAGAACAAGGACTACAATCTGCTGGACTGCCAGGAATGGAAGTCATTCTGTCATAGAAGCAGATTAGGCCAAAGGCGAGCAGCCAATCTTCAGAAGACTGGAACATCTACTAAGCTATGATACTGGGGAGGGAAAACACAGAGAATATTGAATGAAAACTGTTGGATACCATAAGAAGAAGAATAAATCCTATGGCTCAAACTTATGTAACTGCAATAACCTTCGGATTTCAGTAGATTCACTTAAGCCAAAAGCTTGGAAAGTATCTCTTAGAATGTGACCTGCCTATTTAAGAGCCATTTGAATATAGGTACCTACTCTCCTGAGCAGCAAGGAGAAAGAAACTGTTCCTTTATGGACAAACATGGGGTCACAGGAACAGGCTGATGAATGAATACCAGGTACTGGTAGAACAATACTCCATGGCCACCATGCCTTCAGTGGCACAGCTTAAGTATGTTTTACTTTTCACTTCTGCAAAAAAAGTGCACTTCTACTTCCTAGAGTGACTCAACACTTATCCATAGCATAAGACTGTGCAACTAATGCCCTTTGAAAGCACTAATGTGCTAAATGGCATCAGGGACAGGAAGTTATCAGTGCTAATCCACTTCAACTGGTTTAACAGTTACGAAGAATAGAAATGTCTATATGCAAGACACTTCCTCTGAGAGTCCCCATTCCTGAAACAGAAGCACAAAGCCTTTCAACATGCTTTCCCACTAGCATAATTGCTCACCAACTGCTTTCTCAATTCAATTACGTTGTCTCAGCACTAAAGGATGGAAGGCAGAGTAGACCAACTTCTTGTTTATCTAGGCATGCTGGCAGGTTACAGTCATATGTTCTGCCATCTGTGCTGCTAGCTTTATCCTTTATCCAATCATAACAGGTAAAATGGCATTGGTGTAACTGAATCTGTTCTCTCAGACAGAGAAGGAGCCAGAACAGGCATTTGTTTTTTCCCCCCATTCTGAAAGGAAGCAGGAGATGGACACTCTTGCCCTTTTAAAACATTCTGCTTTTCAATACATGGGCAATTTGCCCTGGTCTGCTAATGTGGGATCTGCTCAATGTAAGGCTGTAAAGGTTCCATCTCTGGGGAAAGCATCGAACTGCTGATGAACATTTGGTGGCCTTTAGCAAAAATGATGCTATTTCTGCCAACAGGATCCCAGCAGACTGGGAAGGACAGGCTCCAGATTAGGTGGGATTGTGATGCAGGAACATCAGAAGGCCTGCACAAAGTATATGAGGAGTTTGCTGACTAGCTGCAGCCTTTCCCCCTCCACACTCTTTTGTTATTCATATTGGTTAAAATTACAAATATATTGGCAAATACTGTGGCTTCATTTAAGAGAAGCTGGAAGCTCTCAAATGCACAAGGTGTGTGAAGATGACCTTTCTTCGGATACAAAGGCTGCTGAGCTGTGTGGGTTTCTTTTAAAATTTGACAGTATTAGGAAATTTGTGACTAAAGGTGCTTGAAATCACTTTGAAAACAGGTCTATAGGTCAGTATCAGAGTTCTCAAAACTAAATAATCCAAAGCCAATATTCTAGAAAACAATTCCCTTTGTCCCACATGGGATGCTTTTAAGAGAACGCTCACATTCACCTTCCTTTTTAGACCCCCTCTCTGAACACTATGATATATTGCTTTCTTAGTCAAGTCTATGTCACTAAATAGCTTTAATTATTAAGTAATAATTGGCTGCAGCAAAAACCTGAGTTAATATCAGACAGCAACGTCCAGCAGACCTATTACTCTTCAAATGTTTTCAAATGAGCCTTCTTTTCATAGTCCCACAGGAGTAACTAACACTATCTTGCTTAACTGTGGATGGGCTTAGTTGCTGTTATTTCTTTGTCTGATTTCTTGTTTCGAGGGGGAGGAAGAGAAGGAAGAACAAGGTGAGGAGCAGAGTTAATAGTTTCCTTTGGCAGCCCAGGCCAAAACCCCATTTCTTGAAAACCCTGCCCAACCATAATTACACCTTAAAAATAGAGTACAAATATTTGTTACATAAAAATAGATCTCATAACAAATACGAACACTGCATGCTGTGCATTTCCAGGTGAACTGTTATTAGGAGTGTGTTTTTTTGTCTGAAGCAGTGCCAGCAGCTTTTTGGTACATGTTTCTGTATATTTTCTCAAGACTCTCTTCAAAGATGGCTCTGTGAGGCTTCCCTTTGTATACAGATGCACGATTAGACCAATATTCACCATTATCCAAGTGAACAGTAGTGCTCTGCTGCACTGGTGAACTGTCAAAAGAAAGGAGAGAACAAATAATGAACAAATCAAGATAAGGAATAGGAATCAGAAGGCCAAAATTAGAGCTGCTAAACACAGATTACCTTTCACAAATTGAAATGAAAACTGCACTGCAGCTACTTCTAAGAAATGGGAGCCTCATGTTATTCATACACACAAATTCTCCCCCACTTATCTGAGTGCACTTGATAATACCTCCCAAATAGAAAGCAAATTAATTTTCAAAGAGCATGCAGTAATCTTGCTGTATATTGATAGGCAGCGTGCTAGGTACTAAGCCTATGCAAGAGCAACACAGTAGGATTTTTGTGTCCTTTCAAGGTTAAAATGTAACCACAAGCAGCTATTTCAATATGAAGACAATCTATCAGAGGTATACTAAATTACTGTGGTTGCAGCTGGAAAGTGCTCTATCGGAAGCATCTTGGATTAAGTATTCTCCCAAATACATTATGATATAGTGGCAATCGAATGTTCCTTCCCCACCCCATCTTCTGTGTCACTGTTTTAATATTAAGCACAAATAACAGCCTCATATTTCAGCTGCTTTGAGAAATTATTTCCTAGATCTACGAAGTGAAATTTATTCTCTGAAAATCATTACAAAACACTGACAGAGCTGAAGTATGTATAGTGAAACTCCATGACTATTTGCCTTCTCTTAAAACTTTCCAAACAAAGGCTTGTGTCACATAATGAAACGAGCATTTTCCTGTAATAAAGCATGAAACAAGTAGTTAAAAAAATCATAAGCAGAAAATGGCTACTGAGGTGATATTTTTCACATTTGCCCAAAGGTTCAGTCACTTAAGACATGCAAAACTTAGGACAGTTATCTTCACCCTTACATGACTGTTCTCAGGCCGCAAAAAGAAACCAGAAATATGAAGCTTACAGTGTCCATCTTTGCTTAGGAAATGGATTACATATTGAAGGGAAGCTTTACATTTTCTTACACATATGTAACTTATTAATCTACTATGGTCAAACCAGTACTTAAAACATTGTCCTCAAGTGACATGGTGACATGGACAGTGGGATTGAGTGCGCCCTCAGCAAGTTTGCCGATGACACCAAGCTGTGTGGTTCGGTTGATACGCTGGAGGGAAGGAATGCCATCCAGAGGGACCTTGACACGCTTGTGAGGTGGGCTGATGCCAACCTCATGAAGTTTAACCATGCCAACTGCAAGGTCCTACACCTGGGTCGGAGCAATCCCAGACACAGCTACAGGTTGGGCAGAGAAGAGATTCAGAGCAGCCCTGCAGAGAAGGACTTGGGGGTGCTGGTTGATGAGAAAATGAACATGAGCCGGCTTCAGTGTGCGCTTGCAGCCCAGAAAGCCAACCGTATCCTGGGCTGCATCAAAAGGAGCGTGACCAGCAGCTCAAAGGAGGTGATCCTGCCCCTTTATTCTGCTCTCTTGAGACCTCACTTGGAGTATTGTGTGCAGTTCTGGTGTCCTCAAAATAAAAAGGACAGGATCTGTTGGAACAAGCCCAGAGAACACCACGAGGATCATAAGGGGGCTGGAGCACCTCCCATACAAAGACAGGCTGAAAAAGTTGGGGCTGTTCAGCTTGGAGAAGAGAAGGCTGCGTGGAGACCTCATAGCAGCCTTCCAGTATCTGAAGGGGGCCTATAGAGATGCTGGGGATGGACTCTTCATTAGGGACTGCCGTGATAGGACAAAGGGTAATGGGTTAAAACTTAAACAGGGGAAGTTTAGATCGGATATAAGGAGGAAGTTCTTTACTTTAAGGGTGGTGAGGCACTGGAATGGGTTGCCCAGGGAGGTTGTGAATGCTCCATCCCTGGCAGTGTTCAAGGCCAGGTTGGACAGAGCCTTGGGTGATATGGTTTAGTGTGAGATGTCCCTGCCCATGGCAGGGGGTTGGAACTCAATGATCTTCAGGTCCTTTACAACCCAAACTATTCTATGATTCTAAGTTAATATCAGTAAACACCTGTGACACAACTGAAAGAAACCTTTTGTCAAAAGACTCACAAATATACTTCTATCTAGCTTCATCAAAACACGAAGTTTTCACTTTAAGAAAGGAAAATGGTGAGGGAAGAAGAGGAAGACGTAGGATCAGTTTTCTAAATTCCCATTTCTAAGTTTCCACTGTCCCATGAAAACAAAAGAAGGAATAGCTTTTGCTTTCAGATTTCTAACATTCAAATATTAGGGTGATGCCAACCTATACCATGCAAAACAACAAGATCTCTACGTGGCTCTAATATCAAAAAGGAAGGCAGGCCACTTCCACACTTTTTCAAAAGAGCTCCAACATTTAACGTCAGTCAACAGCATGAAGCAAACTTAAACCTGTTCATCATCCCGGAGAGGGTGAACTGTGCTCACAGTTTGGACACAAACAACCCACCTACCAAACAGCAAAACTGAGAAAAGTTATACAGGCCCGTGTTAAACGTAGACAAGTCAATACCCTTGGGACCCACGAACAACTGAAGTTTTACCTCCTCTTTTCTTCAGTTGGTGTTACCTCACTTGTGATGAAGCATTCTCAGGCCAACAAATAAGCACGGTGCTAGAAGTGGCACTTGTAGCTATACAAGAAATGACTCTGACACTCTTTTCCCTGGTATTCATTTCCTGCAGGCAGCCTTGTGCTTGACTTTTCTTTCTCTTTGACTAAAAGCTTGATCTACATGTAGAGACACTCAAAATCCAAGCACTTTAACTGCAGTAAAGGAAATACTCAAAAACCCAACAGTAACTTTCACAGGTTCCTTATTCTGGTACTGACAAAGACTATAAAAAAAAGATATAAGCTTAAGTTTACCTTCTTTTTTTGGAGGGGGGAGTGTGTGCATTTCCATTAGTCAGATCTTGCACATGAGATACTTAGCACTGGTGTGCAAAAGGATACAGCCAAGCTAGAGAACAGTCCCTCTGTTGCCTCAACTGGAAATCAGCTGACAATCCAAGCTAAGCAATCTGGGAATTACACTTACAAATTGTATTAACAGCAAGACTTCTTCACGCAACTCTCTGCTCTGAAATACCTGTCATAGGCTTTTGTTCCCTCATACATCTCCTTTACGAGTCACAGAAGTTCTTTTCTGAGTGAATTATGTGCTAAATATTTCACAAAACACGGACCTTTTCCTTACTCGCAGTGGTTTTCAATCATCTATCTGCTTTACTGCCAACATTTGGTCAACAGTACCATGTCCTTCTATGAACTTTGTCTCTGTCCTTGTATCCTGTTTATGAGCACTGTGGCAAACACTCAGCAGTCACTTTCCTCGAGTCCTTTCATGTCTCACCCTTAGTGCTGCTGGCCTCTAAACCCAAGGAGCAGTCTTTTCCCAATCTGAGTGCCACATTTCATATCTCATCACTTCAAGATTCTGTAGTATTAAGGTTTGGGTTTTCTTTTTTCATGGTCTGCAGTTTCAGCATCAACCTCAAAGTCCCAAAGCTGCCTCAAAACAAAAACTTGCACTTTTTTTCTCACAAACACATCCTACAAAATGTAATTGCAGCAGCTGTCAGGGCCAAGGTTAAGGGAGCAAAAAGGCTACAGAAAGATTAAAGGAGTGAGCACAGGAATACCAACAACTTCAACAGCAACTTCACATACATGTGGAAAACTAACTAGCTCCCTTGCACCGAGGTGACTACAGTTTATAGGAATTAAAAAAAAAGAAGCCAAGAAATTATAAATGAACATCTTAGAGCTAACTGATTGCAAGCTGAAGTTTGCTACGATACCCGTATTGACTTACCCTCCTTTCAAGTGCGATTCGGGAAGCCTTTGTTACAAAATATTGCATCACACTTAATTATCAAAATAAACCCTATTTATTCTTATGTCAGGATCTCTCAAATTTAGCACCACAGTTCCAGGACTTCTCTCTTTATATAAAGAAAATCAGAAAATCCAAAATCCAAACAATCCAAATCCATACAATCCAAGAAACATTTTACATTACTTGGTACTTTTCCTCCAACAAGTACCCAAAGTGTTGTACAAAATCGTGTGCATGCACAGAGAACATCAATATTGATAACTTCTACTAAAGACGTTGTCAAAGTCAATTCAACTGGTGCTTTTAAGTAAAATATTCAAGAAAAACCCTAGTCATAAATGTGAGGAGTACACAGAATAATTAACCTACATAAACCAGGCTTTCAAGATCTCAGGCTTTCAAGACATCTTCTGAAATATGGCAAGCTGAATCACAAAACCATAGTATATATATTTGCTATGTATTTTGAAGCTGCTTCTCTTTTGCAAATGTGTTTTGGAAAAAAAAGAAGAAAACAACCAAAGAGCCTGAAGCCATATCACTGAATAAACTCCAATTTATTTTTGTACTCCCATAGGTTTAAGAAAAAAATAACTAATTAGTTATTTTTAAAGTGTCATTTGCTCTCTGGTTGATGAAATCTAAAACATGCTGCCCAAGGATCATTTTTATGACCAAGTCCAGTTCCAAAATGAGTGTTTTATGAAGACTATACTGACACACTGCCAAACAGCATGAAAGGCGTAATTATAGTTAACTGCATTTTGCTTTTGGTAGGAGTAACTCCTACAGAAGCTTTTCCCCAGTGCAATATATTACACAGCTCAAAATAGGAAGAGAAATTTTTAGCTAAATTTAAAGGGCAATATCAGGATTATGACTGTTCTGTCTTGGTCAGAGAAAAACTCCATACCCGTTCTGTTGTTCCCTCATGGATAAGGGTGCTTTAAGCGCAGATTCTCTCGTCTTAGTCAAGCCTCCTTTAGATGAGTTACTCTCATCCTGAAAAAAAAAGGAAGAAATCAAATTCTCATTACCTTGGTTTCTGATTACAATGATCTCATTTCAAAAATTCTTTCCATTTAGTACTATCTTTCCATTTTGACTATTAAAGTGCTTACATTTCTTGGGGGAGAAAGGGACAAAGTGTAATGAGCCAAATGCCATTTATGAACACTTTTAATTAAGTTCAGTACAATTCAGCTAATAATTTTCAGGTAATAAACTGGAAAGAATTTCTAGACAATATAGATCTAGAGAGCTATGCAGACAGCACAAGCTTTAGTAATCCCCAACAAACACATGGGTAAAATGCTATGAAACTGCTCACTGCCTTACTTTTGTTTCTTGCAGAAAAGGGGGGGAAAGAACCTAAAACTTACTATTTATTAGCTTTTCTGATGAGCCATCATTATCCATTTAATGCATTTTACCAGACTGAAGCATTCCACACATCTAAATACTTCGATTCCGTATACAAGGCTGAAAACATACTTAGCCAATTAAAAAAAATACCAATGATACACTTAATGACCCTTCAGTGGTATTCTTAGTAGTCACTAGAAAGCAGTCTGATCTTCTAAATGCTATCTAGACATTAATTAAGCCATATTTGCCTTCTTAGGTAAGTAAGAAAGACAACATTTCATGTGAAGGGAGCCAGTTGCTCACCTGAGGCAGGATGGTAGAAATTCCACCACACACAACCATGTGTCTTTACTCTGAAGAGCAAAGACACTACTTAAGAGGTGATACTAAGTGTGGCCTTCAGCAGAAGCCAGTTGTTGTAAGGATTAGTAAACAAAATCATCTTTCATGCTATAGAAGAAATAACTGGAAACAAAGACTGTGCAGTAAAAATCATCACACCTGCTGGTAACGCAAAACTGAGAGAAAAGACAATGAATATAGTGGAAGATGGCAGTAAGATGCAGAGCAAACTAAACGGCAGGTGTATGGATGAGCTAAAATGTAACATGATTTATTGTGGTATAATACGAGGTAATAAGTGTATTTCTAAACAGGAAAACTCTCTTCCTTCAGCAGTCACAAACTATAGAGCACTGAAGAGGAAATGGGGTACAGTGGTAAATAAAACTGCAGCATTTGCCAGAGGCAAATTATGTTGTGGAAAGCAAAAAAAGATGGAAACATTATGGATACTGTCAGAATGTCACAGCAGAAAGCTACAGTGGGCACCCTAAGGAATCTGCAGCAGAGCTCTAGTCACACTAGTTTTATAGAACATTATGGAAACAAAATTTTGGAAAACACAGCTGAATGCTTCTGGGAATAGTTATTTAGCAGAATGAAACAAAATAAGAGATATTTTTTTTAACCTTTCAAACTTTGAAGGAGAATCCAGAGTGAAGCCAAAATCTACTTGCCAGGCTGCCAGTGCACTTGCTTTACTATTCCTTCAACTTTCAAGATGACTCATTTACCTTATCCATCCACTCATCCTAGATTTTGTGCAGTCTGGGGAAGAACAAACCAATCCTGGTGTATTTTACAGTACTCGCTGCAAGTAGGCCTGATTTTCATTTTGTTTTAAGCAGGTCAGCTGCTGTTAGCACAGCTTTAACGAGTTAGCCGTACACAGCCACCAAACACCATGCGACTTCTCTGTAACATCCTCCCATTCCTTTTGGTTGGTGGAAGAAAGTGGAGTAAGAAAAATGGTCCTTTTTCAACACCGTTCTGACCATGTTGCTAATTAGACTCAAAAATATTATCCAGAACCCTGATTTTCTTGGGCACAAACATGTTGAGGTTTTCCAACAGGAAAGGAAACAGAAAAGCATCATCTCTGATTTTTAATCCCTGTGAGTATTCAGCAAGGGTTTGATTCTGGAAGTGACAAGGTGTGCTAACAGAAAGCCAACAGAAAGTCCCATGCTTCAAGAATCTAACAACATGCTTGCAAAATTGTGTGCATCTGTGCAATGTTGCAGTAACAACTGAGTATCTGTATGTTTTAATCATTCTAAATGTTTTAAATTATATAAGTAAGTAAATAGGAAGAAAATGATGGAATTCTCCTTTACCCATTATTGTACTTAATGGTCTTTATGACTTTCTGAACAGACCATATAATCAGCCATCCAGCTGTCCTAATAAACTAGTAAATCTTTTACCAAAAAGTCATGGTCTATTGCTCAAGGAAAGTAGTCAAAGACCACTGGAGGTAGTTCAGGCTGTGTAAACTTTCATTACATGTAGGTGCTAGACCATAATGAAATCCAATTTGTTATCTTAAATTCATTGAGACATCAGAGAAGCATTTGACATGATTTGTACCTATTTTGGAGTAGCTGAGACACAGAAGTGTGATGGGCATCTTCTATTTGAGAGGCAGCAGCTCACAAGATAACAATGGCAGTATACAAACCCAGGGAGGTACAGCATGAACTAAATCAAACAGTCTTAGCATGCACGAGAGAAGAGGTTTTGAGTTTAAAACAAAAAGCACGACAACTAAGCTGAAAATGAAGGTTGAACAGAAAAAATAGTCAGATTAAGAGAGCATGAAGGCAACACAAAGAGCTGCCTAGGACGGCTGAATTTGGGGAAATAGATAAATAAATAGAGAATTCAGAGCTAAGACATTTTTTCAGTACATCTTGAAGCAGTGGATTGAGGCAACACCCTTCACTCTGCCATGGGTTTACTGCAGTAGGTGGAGTCACTGTGTCCCAGCCAGCAAAACTCATGTGCCAATGTGTTATGTCTGCTGTTCCGTGTTGAAGTGTGAGGTGGTGGGGGAGGCTCCCACACTTCTCACTGACACAGTAAACTACATCAGAGGGGAAACGTGGACAGCTGGGGACAGTAGTAACTTAAAGTTGCAGGACCATTCAAAAGCAGATTTCTATCAACACTCCCTTTTTTCTAAGAGGAGAAACTGAAGCAAAAAAAGATGTCTTTCTCCACTTTGGGAGACTCGTGTGTCTTCTAACCGATCAATAACATTTGTGTCTTAAGACTGTCAGACAAAAATAGTCATTTCATCAGAGCTCCTAATCTTACTCATAGCTAATCTCACCCTTATATCCTTTTATCTTACCTTTCTTCTACCTCACCTCACACTTAAGACCCTGAGTCCTTTGCAGATGAGCACTACTGTTATTCAGTTTGTACAATGCTTTGGGATTGTGCTGGGTCACAACTGGGTTTCTCAAAATGGCAACAGTGAAAATTTTTAGCTGTCTAAAATCACACTTCAAGATTCCATCAGTCTCAAGGACGAAATATTCTGATCCCGGGCTATAATCTTATTAGATAAAGAGCTCTGCTCACCGAAAGTCATGTAATTAAGGGAAAAAAAAGCACACATCTGAAGAATAACATTAGCTCTACAAACAGCTGGATACAAGCAGCTGCTGATGTGCAGCTGCACAACATGTTAAGCCTTGATGTTCTACATATCTGTAACATATTTTTTTCTTTGAATTGGAAGTGGAGAACTAGATATATATATAAGAAAGTATTTGTTCTCAATAACCCATGAGAGGGTTACCTATAGCAACTACAAATAAGCAGGCTACTCAAAACAGTGTGAAACAGTTCAGCTTAGGGACTAGATTCATATTTCTACAACAAAGGCTGCCTCAAAAGGACAATGTTATAATAAAACCAGGACTGCAGGTACAGTTCTCTTCCTCAGCCATCTTGGAGAAAAGAAAGGATTTAGTTTGCAGTCAAACTCACAATTAGGCGCTGTCTAGCACTGTGTGTCCTCAAAATATTTTTCACTCTCGTGTGGATCTCCTCTCCATTTGCTGGTAAAGGCCAACCAGAGGTAAATCTGGAAGAGAAAAAACAAAGGGAAGAAACATTTCCTTGTTGAAAACACAAACATGCTTTTGACTCAAGTTTGTTTGTGTTTTTTTTATTCTGCTGTTGTTTTAAATCATGAAGCATGCATTACTTCTTTCTATTTGGAACATACACAATGTTTAGGTTTGTTTCTTTTGCTCCTCTGGGGTACAAGTAAAGAGTGATTTCAAAGCAGTGCACAATACCAACAAAAGATGTGAAACAGAAAATGTTGATGATTTTGTAACTTCAGTAATATTTCTGTAATGTTTGCATTGTCTCTACGGGATAGAAAAGTTATACAGTTATTCTGTTCTCAGTGATCAGGTTTTATTTTCCTCTCTTTAAAGGAAGTATAATACACATCAAATTCTTTTCACTGGAATAAATCAACAGGAACATAACCCCAACGAGTGCAAATTGGAAAGCCCATGGAGTAAAAAAATTGCAAATTCACAGTCTTCATTTCAGAAGATAGAACTGCATTTTAAGTTGCTTTTTTAAATTAAAAACCAGGTAGCTTGCTTGATATGAGTGACTTCAAGCTAACAGCTACTTTGGGATTTTATCCTTCTATGTTTTGCAGCACATTTTTTTCCACTTTTCTAAAACCCAAACTACTCATAGAATCATAGAATAGTTAGGGCTGGAAAGGACCTGAAGATCATCTAGTTCCAAGCCCCCTGCCATGGGCAGGGACACCTCACACTAAACCATGTCGCCCAAGGCTCTGTCCAACCTGGCCTTGAACACTGCCAGGGATGGAGCATTCACAACTTCCCTGGGCAACCCATTCCAGTGCCTCACCACCCTCATCTGTCTCAGCAAATTCAGAAGCTGGCTGAAATTATCCTGGGCTGCATCAAAAGAAGCCTGACCAGCAGGTCAAAGGAAATGATCCTTCCCCTCTACTTTACTCTTGTGAGACCCCACTTGGAGTAAGGAAGAAGTTCTTTACTGTGAGGGTGGTGAGGCACTGGAATGGGTTGCCAAGAGAACTGGTAAATGCTCCATCCCTGGCAGTGTTCAAGGCCAGGTTGGACAGGGCCTTGGGCGACATGGTTTAGTGTGAGGTGTCCCTGCCCATGGCAAGGGTTTGGAACTAGACGAATTGAAGTTTCTTTCCAACCCAAACCATTCTATGGTTCTATAAATTTCATAAAAATAGTTATTTTCAGACCATTAAGGGAGGCAAGTAGGATTTTAAGAATAGGATCATTTACACACCAACCACAAATTAGTTCACTCAAAAATATATCTGAGAAAAAAAGAGTGAGAGGGGTCAACAGCAGGAAAGAATTATTGGTATAAACTGACAAAATGATTACACAATCTCAGCACAGTGGATAGCAAAAGGGCACCAAAACAAGATTGTGCATCTTCATTTCAATGTTTCCTAACCTCTGAGAACCTGACTTGGCACCAGGAAAATAAAAACTCTCAGTGTGGTATCATGTTAGTATGAATGAGGGTCACCAGGAAAGCTGTGAGCTGGCAAGCCATACCAGTGCAATCTGAGCTGGTGAAACAACAGCCAACAGCAGTACTGGGCTGCCATACTCTGGGTGGAGTAGGAGCACAAGAAACAGTGACATGCTTTGATAGCTGGCTTCACAAATTTGATGCAGCAGAGAAACATCATGATCCTAAGGCCTGAGATTCCACAGTGGGCTCTGGATGGGGTTGTGGGACTGGGACTGCAAGCCCTTCTGCCCTCTTCTCTCCAGTTTATCATATTCCCTGCATTATCCAGCGTGTCACTCTGAAATCCCCAATCTGATCATGCCTGGCTTAGTTTACCTTCAATAGACTTCCAGAAATTTCAATACAGCTACAGAACTGTACAGCTCTTTCTAAAAAGGACAAGTCGAGTACACACAGAAAGCTTTAGTACAAAACAAGTAACTTGTCAATGTTAAAATTAACGGAAGCAGGATCCTGAAAATAGGAAGTGTCAGTCTGCCTTGAAGGTTAAGGCAGGGCAGGGAGTTCTTTGCAGTCTTTTGAATTATTCCTTCTATTAACAGAGAGAAACAGAAATGTAAGTAGAAAGTGACCATTTCTCTGCTTTTAAGTAACTTTATTCTATTTTCTTGTATCTTATCAACTTATTTGGACTTATTACTGCTTACCTTTATGAAACATATATCTCTGTTCCAAATAGCCCCAGTATTTTCAGACTATTTCTGAGTTTCTGTAAATTAAATTGCCTTTTTCTGAATGCTGAGAAATTACACAATATTGGAAGCATGAATCATATATCTATAGGGGGATGTATTCTCCACATTTCTAATGTCATTTAACATTGTTTATTATTGGATCATTAAAGGCAAGAATTTTTATAAAGCTGGTTATAACAATTGCATTAGCATCCTGAACACTTACGAATGATTTCAAACCCTACAGCATGTATGGCAAATCCATACTGTTCAATTCCTTTGCATAGTACAATCTAACGAGCTGTTGCATTAAAAGATCTCACATAACTTTTTGTAACCGAAAGCAAAATGGTTAGTGAATTTTGTTAGTGGAGGAAAGCATTGCCTTTAAAAGAAACAAAAGTCTAAGTCCCTTAAGCAGGCAGGAACATTCATTTCCCTAACACAGTCAAACCCAGTTTGATGTACTGCATTATAATGCATGTGCTCTATCACTGGCGGTGGTTTGAAAGAAAAGCCCATCCTTTTTTTCTTCTTTTTATAAAGAAGAGAGGTAAATGAAAGGGACAGAGAGGTAAACTGAAAGAGACTATCATCTTATGACTTCCCATTAGCATTTCCAAACATTTACTAATATTAAAGAACCCCCAAAATGCATGTTCAAAAATCTGCATCCTAGATGCGGTAAGAGTGAGTCATTTCCCATTTGACAAATAAAAGATAGACCCATGAAGTCATGGCATTTTCTTTTATTTATACAGCAGCTGCTGCTGCTCTTCCAGCATCTAGGTTGCTGCCACAGAGAAGTTGGAATAGATTGCCTTTGGGAAATAAATGTTATGAAATTCATATGTAAGATTCAGATCATTGTTATTAATCTTAAATTTACAAATATCCTTGGAGATAAATGTATTTACTTTTGGAAAAAAGAAAACCCAACTTGCCATTGTATTCATTTAAAAAATAGTGGCTGTGTCTGCAGAAGAAGGAAAAGATTTAAGTACTTCATTCAAGAACTATTAAATTTCTTTCTTCGGGTGATTTTATGGATCAATCCACTAGTGTGCGCTGCGGTATAAGAAACGTTAGGCACTCACACATCCCCCCCAACTTCATTTACTCCCCCTAAAAAAAGAACAAAAACGAAAATCAAAACCTGGACTGTGATTAAAACAGTACCAGCTTCTTTTAAATTAGCTCTTCCAGTATTGTTATTGTCTAATTTAAGTAATAACTACAGAGTCTAATTCACATTTAAAGTCACAATGTTAATATTTACATCAACTAAAACTCAAGCTAAAACAAAATCATGCCTGAAATCTAGCAGCCCTACTCTAAAGTGAAACCTTTTCATGATACTCTAACTCTCCTATTGGAAATATTGTATAAAACAGGCTTTATAGCACAGCCTCTTAGAGTATAAATAAAGAGATCCTATTTGCCAAAAATCACCAATAACGAGGTTTTAAAATGACTAGCTACCTATTTATGTGATTAAGGTGTCACTATCATATTGCAATGCTGAAAAGAAAGTCATTTCATTTCAATGACAGTTTGTCCTGATAAACGAAATAAACTTCTACAGCTGTATTCTTTGTCATACTTTCAATTTTCCTTGGGACTTGCAAACATTCTGCAGTTACATCAGTTTAAATTGTTTATTGATTCCAATAGATTGTATAAACACTTTGGAAATATAGCTCAGTGACCTAGAAAGAGCCAGATCAATCAGACAACTTCTCAAGATTAATTTCAAAGATGTTGTGTCGAGTCCAATTGAGGAAACAGAACCATTTTCCCTGTAATGTGACTAAAGGCATTTATTTTCTTTTATGAGATAAGGATTTTTTTTAAGGACATACAGAAAATATCTACCTTGATGAAAAATAAAACCCAAAGAAAACAAACAAACAAAGAAGCCAAGCAGACCGTTTAGATCCTCTGCTAAAGATTAAAGTTGTTTTCATATATAATTTTATGTATTAGGATGAAATACTCCATTAGAAGTACAAACAGGATACATCCCATGTACTGTAGTCAAACAGCAGCTTGCAAACCTGAGAGCTGTAATAAACAGGAATTTTCAAATGTCAGACAATCCAGTCATCCTCTTGCACATAGCCAAAATGTTAATATCACATTTCAGCAGGAGATACGAATACATTTCATATCAGTAGAATTAATGCAGAAGCCTACTGCAGAATATTTGCAAAGCCTAGCATGACCCCTTCCCCCACCATTACACCTTCTAGCCTCTGAATAACTCGGTGCATGTGGCTTCCATAAAGAATTCATCAGCTTCAAAGATACAGACTTCATGCTGAGCAAATACACATACAAGGACAAACTATCAGACAATGGAAATCAATTAAGTCCTGTAGTACCAGATTCTCAATTGGAAAGAACGCTGCTGTAATTGGGGGAAAGAGGGAGAAAGAACTCTAAAAGCTAACTATAACCTGAAGAAAACACAATCTGCAAGAACTTAAACATGGAAGAAGAGAGATTCTCAAGAAAGCCCAATAAATCTTATTCTGAAAGAGAAGAGAAACCTCACAGATTTTATATATAAGTAGGTACTTACGCAGCATACACTGTAAGTGGAGAAGTTGCTTTATTCTCATTTAAGAGCATGTGAAGTGGTAATTCAGTATGATGAACTTGGTTCTCAGTGTATACTGGTCTGCACAGAGGCACAACAGAAAGGTTGGGCTACACTTAAGAGTTTTACTGGTCTACTTAGTAAAGGATGCAATTTTGTTTTGCTTTCTCTTAAAATGACTGATTGCTATAAACCTTAGTGTAGATGCCGCACAGAAGTGGTTTAGAGACTATGTTGGTACATACCAGTTTCTGAATTGTAATGAAAATATGCCAACATAAAAATCCTTACATTCTCACAGTATTTGAAGTGGAAGAAGTAGGCTGGTTTCACAATATCAGAATACTAATATGAAGCTGAAACAATTACACACAGACAAGGCCTTAAATCAAAGCACAGAAGCCTAAATATTTGGAAGCAGAAGCTGACAGCTTAGCTGTATACCTCTTCAGTAAGAAATGGGGAAAAAAAAAAGAAAGAGTAAACATATCTCATCCTTTCTATATAGTTCCTCTTATTTTCACAAGCCCTGTTTACAGTTAGTCCTTCAAGTAGTAAAGATGCATTCAGTGTTGAGTTTTCACATCAGTAAAGGCTTTCTTTTCCCTTCCAAGTTTCAGATCTAGCCCTTAAAACTGTGATAGGATGAATCACCCTCATGTAGAAAGTGAAGCTTCTGAGATTTCAAGGAAGGCCAATACCCTAGCTGAGCAGCTGCCCCCAAAAAGGTTGAAGTTATGCTGGTACTAAATCATTAGTATGTCATAAATGGGCTGCAGCTCCTTATTCTCTTTGGAAGCTTTTCCATTTCTTTCTATCTTCTCTGAATGTATTAATTTATACACAAAACAGCTTTGACAACAATCAATTTCAAATTTACTTACCACTGCAGCAAAATTAACCAATGAAGATGACAAATCGTGCAGATGTTGCTCAAAAATATGAAACAAGGCTTAGGTACTGCTCAGTTTTGTAAACTATTGTATGAAATAGCTGATCTTCAAATGCTAATTCCAGAAGTTAACTTAAAGAATGCAAAATAAGTAAACTTCCCCAAAGAGGTGAGAGTGATAAACCCAAAAGATTCAAGAACAAGCTCACTACCAAGCTAAATTCAAAATAAAATCAGATATGATTACTTATAAATGACTAGAGACAGACAGGAAACCAAGCTGCAGCCTCTCCTTATAGCAAGCTTTTTTTTCCAAGAAAGCTAATTTTTTCAGTGTTCTATTTGTAGTGGAAACTTGTCAGAACATAAACATACACTTTCACAGACGTAAACCCTGTCTTAGGATGTATGCCACAGTCAAAAATACCAGGTGAACTACCTCTGCCTGGATTTTACTCTGCAACAAAATTAGTACCCTAGATCCTGGGGTGACACATTTCAAAATCACTGAAGCCAAAGCTTCTGAAAACTGGAGTTTTCAAGGCCTTCATGTAGGATCTAGCATTTCATTAATATTTAACTATTAGGATCTATCATTATATCTATCATCAGTAACATCTAACGATGCTGGTATTTCCCTAGCACTTGGAAAGAGATAATATAAAAAGATGGTAGTAAAACAATAGAGGAATATTACAGAAGGGCATCTGATCCAGACAGTTAACCTCTGTCTTACTTCAAAGAGAACTTAGGTTTCTGTTAAATTTTATAGTGGATAAGATCACATATCTGAAGTGCAACCAGGAGAACATAAAAAAAAAAAGACATTGAGCTGCACTTCACTCTGGAAACAAAAGCAAAAGCCTGCCATTTCCAGAGTAAGAAAAAGAATCCTTTGATCCCAAATGCATGAGAAGTAGCTTTGCCTCTCAACATAACAGAAATGGTCAAATACTTCTATGATTGCTATAGTCTCTTCAGAAAAGGATTTCTCTTGTGCCAGCACGTAGCTCCATTCATAGGGCTTCTTGACCTTACAGAATCCATTTCACTATTTCTCCTTTTCTTTATGAAAGGTACTTTGCTGCAGGTTTCAGTGCTGCAAGGAAGGCTTAGCTTGTAAGTCCCCAGGAAAAATACCGTCTTCTAGGAGTGCCATGAAGATGTATATACACCATAGATTTTGCTTTCCTGGAGCAGCACTGAGAGAATATAGTACTAATGCTCTTTTGCAAAGCATACAGGATACCTATCTATACACAAAAGGATACTTATGTATGCACAACCAACCAGACCATGGGGACAAGTATTGATATACTGCTGGCCACACATCATGGGCAGGAACTGGAGTGTGTATGTACCACTGGTCTGCACAGCAACTAGAATCAAAGTGGGAAGTGGAGTTATGCAGCCACACTCTACTGAGAGTCAGTTTGCAACACCAGCAAATGTTAGGTGACCTAAACAATGAAAAATGTAAAACTAAAATATGAAAAATAAGTATTCAAAACTTTGCTGCCCTGATTCAGCAGTAAATCTATTTACAGTTCTGCTTCTGGCTCAAACCCAGGGGAAAAGGGGAGAGGACTGTCCTTGTGGGCCCTCAAGCAAAGGGACTGGAAACTGCTAGAAAGGATACAAAATGGCTCAGAGGACCTTATGCAAGACCCCATTTTCTGTACCTCGGAAAAGTATTGCAGTGATTTCACAGTTATTCAGCAGCTGGCTTTGGCAAATACTCCGAAGAAGACACACATTCACATCACACTGCTCTTTTAAAAAGAAAAAAAGAAGGAAAAAAGGGAACTAAAGGTCAAGGTGGGGAGTCAAGCTCCATATTCACTCTGGGTTGACTAACATTAAAAATATAAACCTGGATATGCTAAGCTCTTTGTCTTTGTAATTCAAAATAAAATTGAGGAAATAAACATCAAATACTGTGAGATAAGACTCTATATTCTTGCGAATACACTAACACTGACGTACTTTCAGTAGTACTGATTTTCTCTGTATTTCTATGATCTGAACAACAGCGTTTGCATGCATTTCCAAACATTGACCTCTGCTCCATGTTTGTCATTCCAAGTATAACTCTCAGTATACAGTCAGCTAACTGTTCTCTCAGCAGCATGAAATAGACAAATTTTTTTGAGCCTATGCCCTTTACCTTCTCATTTTGATAATTTCCTGATGACAAAATTAAGTGCTTACATCTTTAACATAAAGAGTAACATAAAGAGATCTTACATCTCTAAAAAGCTGAGAACATTTGTTCTAATCAGAAGAAAAAAACATAATTTCACAAGATCACAAATCTCTTCTGAAGAGGGGCTCATAAAGAGAAAAAGCAAGAACATTCAGACAAGTTCAAGATTAAGTGACAGATGACTAAATTACCATGCATGTAACAGCAGCTCACAACATACAAGACTTTTCTGCTATCAATATAAAAGACACTTCCAGCTTTAAATATAATGCATTTTAAAATGTACTCCCCTTCCCAATCAAAGTCCAGCTAGAAAAAGGATTAAAGAAGTCCCCATTACAGTATCTCTTCCCCAGACATGGGGAACTAATGCACTGACATTTATCAGAAGAGAGTGGGGAGGTAGACAAGATGACAAAGAAACCTCCTCCAAACTCCAGCTGCATCCTAATCTCTGTATAACAGTTCTCAAGGAATACTATATACACAGATCACCAAACAAGCAAGTTTTCAAGCAGAGGAAGATGTTAAAGCACCAACTTGATCTTTATGAATATTAAAAATTCAATCCCCACCTGCCATCTGTCATTTTTCTTTTTAGAGAAAAAATCTGAGACAATTTTTCTTTGGAAAAAAGCATTAGGCTGTGTGTAGGCTATAAAAGGCACCTTGTGAGCATTGACTAACTGAAGTACAACTGGTAACATAGGTGAAACAGTCTGGAACGAGTGTGAACTAGCCACCAGAGTACATCTCCAAGTAGGGCCTCAGAAAACACTTCAGCATTTAGGACAGGACATCAGTTTGATCCTCAGCTTCTCCCAATTATTTTATGTATTTGCTTATTCAGGTCCAGCTTTGCATATAGATTTTCTGCTCCCAGAAAGCCATCCAGTTTTTTGCTAAACTGAATGTACAGTAGAGGCATTGTGCACCAAATACACTCAGCAGGAGGCAGGGAATACTTGCCTTGAAGGACTGGAGGAATTAAGCAAGAAAAAATCTGTTGGTTTTTGACATTTCTTCTATCTCATGAGACTGAAGCTGTAAGACTTACCCAAAATACTAACCCAGGGACTGAAATCCACTGAACACAGGGATACTGGAAATTGTCTCCATCCCAACCCCACTGTGGTCAGTGGAGACTAGTAAAACTAATTTAAATATAGCAATTAATATACACACAACTCCTGCAGAGACCCACACTTCGACTCAAACAAAACAAAATCTTAAGCTGTCAATTAATCAGAAAGACTGGAAAGTAATACTAGATTAATGCTAGCCCAAGCATGTTACACACACTAGTCATGCATCTGACTACAGCATAGCCACAAGTATGTGCTTACAAAAGGTTTCCAGGTACCACCCATTATGCCTATTTCACATGTAGCTACAGTCACATTCCTGAGATTCTAATTGACTATGAAACGATTACTTAAGTATTCTCTGTTTCAGATGGACATTTGGCAGCCCGAAATGTGGGGCTTCATTATTGCAGAGAAGGTTAGCAGCAGAGATGTTAAAGATCCTTTTCATTGCTGTATGATTCATTAAGCAGAGAGGGGATGGCAAACACTGCACCTGAAGAGAAGTCAAACAACAATACAGCTGTTGGGGAAAGACTTTTGGTCTCTTCAGCCTGCATACCTCCAAACATGCAAACTACAGTCATGCAAGTACCGTTATCATCTGCTCGTGTTAGCAACTCTAGAATTTCACAAACAAAACTAGGCCATTACCTTTCCCTTAGAGAGGATTGATTTAGCACAGAACTTAGAGAATGCTTCTGGAGTGCTGGAGATGCTGAATGCTCTAATGAACCAGCAGAATGGGACTGTCTGTTGCCTGGAGTTGAGATCACATCCTCATTGCAAACATCAGAGCTGCCAAAGTATTTCCCATGAGGAGATTCTGCCTGTAAAAAAACCCCACCAAACCTTGCTAAATTTTGTTATGAATATCAAGATGTACACATTTCATATTTCTTTTTTTCAAACCAAAAGGCTAAAGGTTGCACACACATGTGGGAATATCTGTCTGCTGCAGAAAGAACAAGGACCCTCATTTCATAGAAAGAGCCCTGGTCTAAATTAAATCAGCAAGTGTCAGAGGATTTTGCTGGTATCTTACACACCATCTTATGGCAAAATCTACTGCAACAGCCCTTTTATCACCTTGTCTGATTGCACAGTTTAAAGGCTTACCCTTCCCAGAAATCTCACAGATTCAGAATGATGCCAGAGAGTTTAAAAAAACACAAACCTTAGACTTCTCCTCAGTCTGATACCCCTTGTTCTTAGACTTTTTCTTCTTTCATGATTTGATGTTCCTCGAGGGAAAACTCAGGCCCATCTACTCATCATCTACTCACTCTTCATTACACTCATTACTCCTTTCATGACTCCCCTTAACATGTAACACACCACTAAAAAGTCTCTGTGGGTTACCACCTTTTATCTGACATGGGGACTTTTACAGGAGCTGTTTCCCAAATCTAAGGAAAACAAACAAAACCCACAACAAAACCAGACCAATAGTAATCAGGTTATTCATAAGCTCTTTCCAGGCTGCTGGGTTATTTTCTCTCAGCTTTGGGAAACAGCTTCTTTTAAACAAAGCTGTATTATATTTCTGGCAAGAAAAAGATACATTCTATTCAGCCCTAATTTTGTGAGAATCACAAGTGATTAGTGGCATCAAGAACATGATGACTTAACCTGCAGCTATCTGCATAAAATCTACTGCTCCTAAAATCTGCTTTCCCACTGGGGGAGAGCAGAGGGATGTGGGAAACGACATGACTTTAAAATGGCCACCTTAAAAAAAAACCACCAAAAATACATATTTAGTATATTTAGTAGAATTTCCCTGTTTTCTTTACAGTATCTCATTTACAGACATGGAACAAGCTAGAAGTGGCACAATATGTTAGAATTACATGGTAGGCAAAACTGCAATCCTTGGTAATAAAAGCTTAGAATCTGACAAAAGTGCACTTAATATATGGCAAGGTTTATCCTTATAATTCACCTTCTTTCCTCCTCCCTGTTATCATCAGTTTTCCCAGCCATTAGGAAATCCAAGAGGGCATACATAATTAAATGCCTAAACCCATGATTCCTACAGTACTTCGGGAAGACAGGCAAAAACAACTAAATGAGGATGGAAAGAATAAAAACCACCAAAACCAAAGGAACCCTGACATCATTCTTTAGATCCATGGAATACACGAAGCAGCTAAGATCTGAAAAAGGAAGGATGTGAAATAACAGAACAGTGACTGCCCAGTTGCACAAGTGCTACCCTTCTATATAATTCTAGAGTGCAGTTTGCTCTCATAAGGACCACAAAGGCAAACTGCCTTTAAAAGCTCTTCTATAGCCTTGCCAGAAGCCTTAATGCCAAGGAGAAGCAAGGCCTGTACTTACAAGCACAAACATGGAGTGTTAAGTTTCATTTTTCTACGTGTAAATAAGCTGTCAGCAGCCCTAAACTGGGTTAGATCAAATTTAACATGTCCCTTTGCTTGCTTTTGCTACTACAGTAGATAAAGTTTCAAAAATACCTATGCAAGAAAATATGCACGACAAACCTTCTCACTCAGAGCTTCCCAAAAAACAGTGCGTAAACAGTAGTATTTCAGAGTACTCACTTTGGCTTTCCTGGGTCTGTAGCTGCCAAGAAGAGAAGAATCTGGAGAAAGAAAAAAGATGTATCCCAGAAGAAAGTAAAAAAAAAAATATAATCCGAATGTCCTCAATTTTATGAAATCTACAAAATAGCTTACCTCTCCTCCCAAACAATATTAAAGTTGTTTCTATTATTATTACTATTATTATCGTTGTTATTATACCCTCTGAAATTCTAAACAGGCTCAGAATATTTCAGGAGATCACCCTCTTTAGCTGAAAACAATTCCCACGTTTAATGGAATATAATATTTATAATAATTAACTGGTGTATGCAAGTGTCCTGGCTTTTGTTAATCTATTAATTGCCTAAATCAGTACAAAATCAGGCTCCACCATTCCCAAAAATTCTCATGTACATTACACTACTTTACTAATCTTCTCTGGACAAGCTTCCTTATGACTGCTTTTCCCTCCTCTTATCATCTGTTAATTTCATCCCACAACTGATGCACAAACATGAGTATTAAGCCCATGGGAAAGATATGTGAGGAAACTATTAGGTCAATATTGGGTGAGGATGTTTCACCAATGTCAATACAGGACTCATCCCTGCGAGACTGACATTAAGTTATATCTGCTTTCTTGATCATTTCTACCAGTCTGTAGTGACCTAAGCTCAAAGAGGTACTTCTATGCTGTACCACAAGGTAAAGACACCCCTCTATAAGCTACTTGCACAAAAGCCAAAAGGACTAAACTGTACTGTCAGTATTAAGGGTTTTAATCCTAGGAATCTGTTTTGTTCAGAAGTTACAGTTAAGCTTCAAGACACAAGCAGGTAACCAGTGAATCCTCTCGAGGTAGATTCAGTGTTACTACAAAGAACAAATGTAAAATAACAAATTCACAATAATTTCCTACATAACAACTTGTAATTAGTGAGGAGGCACAATAAGAATGAGGCAGAGCACACATAATGAACAAATACTGATGAGATGTGAAATACATTGTCAGACATACGCAATAAAATCACATTTTAGGGTACTACTTTAAATTTTTGGTCTGACACTTCTTATCAAACTCTCACTTACTGACACTAATGAATAATGAAGCAGATATTGGAGCACATCCTGGATTATCATTTATAATGGCAAGTCACTGATCCACTACTCACAAATACTGCTGAAATAAATACTCCTTTCTGAAGTAAAAAAGCCCTTAAACTTCAAAATGATCAATACTCCAAGCCTGATCAACACATCTACAGGCTGAGGTGCAGATCTGCTGCACTATCCAACTCGTTAAAACAAGTGGAGTGAAACAGAGTCCTCACCTGAGCTTTGCCATTTTCTACTCCTGCTTTCATACTACACAGGACACATTTCAAGTTTCATGAAGTAGTATTCAAAACCACCTTTTGCAGCAGTAGCTTATGCAGTATTCTTCCTATTGCTTGGAAGAAAGAACAGCTTTTCTCCATTATAGACCAACATTTCTGCAGATAACAAAAGCATTAATGAGATGTATAGCAGAAAATACTGACCATGGTCTACCTTGTTCCAGGCTTCTGCTGCACTTTCTCGTGTGTGACAACAGGTATGAAGTTTAGCACCAGGACTTGGTTGTTCAACCTGAAGCAAAGATACTGTTAAAATAATCAGTATCAGATGTACAAGTTCCTACTTTTTTGTTTTTGTTCATAAGGTCATATCCAGTCCTGTCTGAAATATATTTTTTATTTAAATACTATTTGAAACTGATTTTACTACACTTTGCTTACATTATATATACTATTAACATTACTGAGCATAAACAGAAACAGTGCTAGGAAGGTCTAGAAAGCTCTGAATATCATATTGTTCAAAGAAAAAAAATGCAGATAGTTTTTCCTTCATCTATCATGTCTGCAGTTTTTGAACCAATTCTTGTATCTCATACTTAATCCAAACAGTTCAGATGTCACAAAGTGAGATCTGAATCCCTTCCTAATGAAAAAAGCTACATTTAACATAATCTAATTTTAATCTTCATTTAAAACAAAATCTCCAGGCCAAAAGAGTCCTTGGCAGTAAAGCTGCCCTAAGGGGAGCATTCTCAATCTACTAAGGCCATGGAAGTCAGGATACAGTACATTCAGAGAAAAGCTTTTTCCTTTTTTGTACAAATATAACCAAGCAACTGAATCAATAATCAGTGCTATAATTAAACTAAACTTCACCTATAGATCAAAACACTGAAGAATTGATTAAAAGGAGATAAAAGTAAAATATCTGAGAAATAGAGAGAGACAAACAGTATGTTATGAATGATTAACGGTTTATTAAGGCTAATCTGAATTTCTGAAGGTACCCATATATAGAACAAAACCTGGAAGAGTTCTGAAATTTGACAAGATATTATGAATTTATTTGTACATAAACAAAAAAAAACCTCCTTAAATAAAGTGAGAAGCAAACTAATTAAACACTAAATTCTCAATGGCTTTGACAACTTTCCAGAATTGTAGACAAATCATAATATCACAGCAGAGAATCAGAACAATCCCATTTCTGCCCCTACACAAAGTGATTTTCTAAAAAGAAAGGAGTGTTGCAATTATATGTAGTACTAAAAGGGGGAAAAACAAATATGAGAATATCATCCTCCAAGAGGAGGCGAAATCTGCCCCCTTCGTATTAAAGCACTTAAACACAGTTTCTTTAAATAAGTACCTAATTTCAGAGCAATTTTTCACATATGGTTAACAAAGCCCTTATGCGGGTGCTAAAGTCAGTTTGATTATGAACCAAAGTGTTAGTGTTATGAGTCAAAGTGTTAGAGATGTGGCTCTGAGCAAAGGAAGCGTTTCAAAGATCACAGGATGCCAACATAAAAAAAGTTGAAAGAGAGGAAGTGCAAATGTTCAGAATGTGACTAGACATTCTTTCTTTAAAGTCTTATTCAGGAATTTTTAATACCAATATCAATTACTTCCAAGCTGAATTTATACACCTATTATCCTGTCTAGTGTGCTGGAAGAAAAGAAATGGAGCCTTGGAGAATTTAACCAAGATATTCATGAAAGAATTTGATCTTTGTCTGTTACTAACGCGGATAAAAGAAATTTTATTTTAGTTAATTTTACATTTAAATCACTATGCGACAGACTGTTAAGGAGAGAAAAATTATTCATCTAAACTAAGAGCTGAATGAAATTTTGGAGCTATATTTAGCGAAAGAACAATATTTGATCTGAGCTTAAGCTGGAAGCACTTTGGAGAGAATACAAACCCGTCTAACTACAAATGGAGGTTTATCGGTATCTCTTCTGAATTCATAAGGACCAAGTTTTAAATGGGCCAGTCGTTGCCTGGCGTCTTGTGATAGCTCACACATTCGTCTTTTTGTGTATGGAGATGGAGAACGTGATTTAGAAGCTATTGTAGGCTGCTCGTAGCTCTTTGTTGCTAAGCTGTGCCTGTTTTTCTCAGGTGAAAGAGTATTTTTCTTTGGCAACTTTGTTTGCAATTTTCCATTTGGGGTTGAGTGATGTACCAAATTCAAATCATCCTAAAGTGAAAAAGAGAAATTATCTGCTTTGACAGCATGTGGAACAAAGATCACTGAAAATAATGTAAACAGGGAACTGATTTCCCCTCATACAACTATAAACAAACAGCAATTTAAAATGCAACAACGTATTTTCCATTTTCTCTGAAACCAAAAGAAGGTTAAACCACACATTACTAGATGTTAGTTAAGGTAGAGTGTCTGATTCTCACCCAGTTAGCTTTCTCACACAGTTAGTGTACAGAGACTGTGAAAAATTAAATTGAGTTTTGTTACAACTTCGTTTCACACAAACTCTACCTGGGTCGCACAGACACAAATTTGAAGTATTTTTTCATCTGTTTAAACTCTTTTTAACCTTTTAGAACTCTTGTCCTTTAAAATAAAATATATAAATTAAACTAGAAGCCTGTTTAATGTTTTAATTTATGTGCATTTAAAGTTGCCTAAAGCCTTACAAGAAGTCTCAGTGCATTCTCTGAAATTTGTATTTTCTTGGATCATAGTGAAGTTACTAGCTTTTCAAGGAGTTATAATAAAGAAGCTATGTTTAGTGAAAAAACAGCCAAACGGAAAACATCCTCCCCAAAAAAATACCAACAAGAAATGTTTGAAGACCATCTTCCAAAGATCGTCTCAAATTGTGTGAATGCTTCTGCCAAAGGAGAGGTAAAGCAGCTGTTTATTTTTACAGCTGGCACTTGACAACCACAATATGAATTTTGAGGCTAAAACTTATAAAAATCCCACTACTATCAAATATTGCCTTAAAAGTCTGTCTCAGAGTTGGCATTGCTTTTAAAACACCTACATACAGCAGAAACAAGTACCGTGGAGGAACAACCAATCTCGCCACCTCCCTTCCCACAGCCAGCAAAGCCTATCTAGCAAACAGGGCTGTCACCCCCTCCAAGTAACTATTAATGTCTTCAGTGACTGATTTCATATTCTGGGAAGCTGTTTCCAACACTGAAGTTTTGTTGGAAATACATTATCATTCCTCTGTAAACTCTAGCATTAAACGAGCAATAAATTATTCTACCAGCTTCATAGGTCAAGGCACTCCAGATTCTACAACTCTTATTAGGCTACTTAGGCAGCAGCATTTTAACTTTGAATACCACAGTACAGATATAATTAGACTTTTTGTTCAAATTTGGCACAAATTCACGAATTATAAAAGACAAAAAATAATAGTATAGCAAAACTCTTCTTCCTGTTGGAAATTCCTTTTCAAGCTTGAGGAAACTGACATTAGTCATAAATCTGAATGTTGCACAAACTGCTTTAGAAGAACTCAGAAATGAAATGTCCAGCTTGACTTCAAGCCTTTCTCTCTACACAGAATCACAGAATGGTTTGGGTTGGAAAGGACCCGAAGATCATCTAGTCCCATGTCCTGCCATGGGCAGAGACACCTCACACTGGACCATGTCACCCAAGGCTCTAACCTGGCCTTGAACACTGCCAGGGATGGAGCAGTTACCACTTCTTTGGGCAGCCTATTCCAGTGCCTCACAGGGAAGAACTTCTGCCTAATGTCTAACCTAAATCTCTCCTGCTCAAGTTTAAACCCATTGCCCCTTGTCCTATCCTCTGTCCTTGATGAAGAGTCCCCCCCCAACACCCTTATACGTCCCCTTTAGACACTGGAAGGCTGCCACTGGAAGGTCTCTACGTAACCTTCTCTTCTCTAGGCTGAACAGCCCCAACTTTCTCAGCCTATCTTCATACGGGAAGTGCTCCAGTTCCCTAATCATCCTCATGGCCCTCCTCTGGACTTGTTCCAGCAGTTCCATGTCCTTTTTATGTTGAGGACACCAGAACTGCACACAATACTCTAAGTGAGGTCTCACAAGAGCAGAGTAGAGGGGCAGGATCACCTCCTTCGACCTGCTGGTCATGCTCTTTTTGATGCAGCCCAGGATACAGCTGGCTTTCTGGGCTGCGAGTGCACACTGCTGGCTCACATTCAGTTTCTCATCAACCAATACCCCAAGTCCTTCTCTGCAGGACTGCTCTGAATCACTTCTCCTCCCAACAACAAAAGAGGCTGAGGTTGTGCGTTTGTTTTGCATCAACACAGTTTGAATCTGGCATCACTCGGACTATTCATGCCAGTATCTTTCTCACTCCTGCAGTAGCACTTGTGCACCTGTAGCGAGCTGGAGTACAGAACTGGCCCAAACAAACCCAGACCTAACTCTTTAACCTTAATTTCAATTTAATCAGAATTAAGTTGTGCTTCTGGCTTACACCAATTGTGAAACTAGGCCTTCACTGCAACACATACACATTTTATATCTCATTCATAACATATTAAATACTTTTAAGGACATTTTAAATTTCAAATCAAACTGAAGTTAGTTTTCTGACACTGTTTTTACTATTTTTTAAAAATTCTTTATCTAAGTGTCTCAATACATTTTGTTTGTCAAATTTGGAAGAAACTTCTCAATAACTAATTAGCAATGCCACAAACACTTTCCTGACTTTCTTTGCATGCAAGCCTTCCCAACAACCATTCCATTTTAATGAGGGTGAACCATGTTTCCAGTACTACAGCAAAAAACAGGAGGACATACGAATAACTTTACATGACAACTTGTGCCAGGAAACCCAACCAAAATTCCAATCTGTGAGACCAGAGTAAAGTGCTACCAAATGACCGAATACACAGGAGATTTTTTTCCCCTAGTCTCTTCAGCTACTTCAACTTTGATTGTTGCAGAAGCAGCATTTCCAGATTAATATTGGTGACAGCCATTTCAACAAAAAAATCTTCATTTTTTTCACCTTCATTCCTGTTACTGATACTGTTATGGAAAACAATTAAATTAATTGGCTTGGTTTTTATAAGATACCTTTTCTGACTTCAACGGGCTTTCATTGTCCTTAATTTTAAGTGTCAGTAAGAAACGGTGGGAAGGCATCTTCCCACCTATAAATACACCGGGGATTGACACTTCAGCTGATCATAGAACACAGCAGCTGATAATTGTTTCAGATTCAAGGAACTCTCAGCATTTGCTTGTCATGCACCAAGCCCACTCTTTACTCATACTTGATTAAAAATTTAATCAAGTTGTCAAGCACCCATGATAACTGCTTTAACCACAACAAAAGAATGAGAAAAGTTTGAAGTGAGCAGCACATGCAAAAATTGGACACAAGGCTATCAATATTAAATCTAAAAATTAAATTTCAAACAATTAAATTATGCTAACCTGTATGTGACTCCTTCCTGAGCTTAACAGGCTTTCTGTAATAAGGGAGCTTGTAGAAAATCTCAGTTTTGGTGCAATTCCCTAGAAGAGAGACAATAATTGAACATCAAGCTCCAACTCAAGATAAAGGGTATCAAAGAGGTAAATGTCACCTAATGTAACAAACCATTCCTAATTTTCAGCCATTTCCTTTGTTAATTTCAGCCTTTAATAAAGATAATTAGAAAAGACAGAACAGCAATGGTAAATGTCAAGATGCTAACATTTGCATTTCTGACAATTCAATTACAGATGATTATATTGCTTTCGTACAACAATTAAGGTCTGACTTTTATTTCAACACATATCTTAGTCAAAAGCACTTTTAAAGATTTTTCATGCCATGTTATATAGCATCAATAAAAATTCCAGTCATGCTCTGGAAGTTTCATTAACTCTAACTTTGGAAACTTATTTATAAACAGCCTCAATTGTGCAATCTTTTTTTGGTAAAAACATACAGAAAATTGGTCAGTTACACTGCAAATTACCATCAGTTTGTTAACAGAATGATTAAGAAAAGTCTTATTCTGTAACCATTAGATCAGAGTCTGATTTCTATGGATTGTCTCCCATATTCTATAACCACGTTTCACTTTCTCTCGATACCCTCTTACACGTGTGGCTGGCAAGAGGCAGCTTACCAACTTAGAATCAGTGAGGTCCAACTGGACCTCCTGGACAAGCAGCACACTTGTACTAATGGCTAGCCGGTGTCTCTGCCTTTATGTGGCTAACAGTTTCTGTTCAACTCATCTTTTTTTACTGCAGCCATGTCTAGAAACATAATAACTCCAAGAGCTCTGTCTCCTGTGAAATTTATCTAGAATTGACCAACATATACAAATGTACTGGGTGTAAATGGCAGACATTACAACACACAAGTTGAGTGACATTAAAAAAGGCATAAAAGAACTAAAGGCCACGTATGCTATAAAAAGTGGGGAACATCTATATGCATCTTATCCAGCTCTGCAGAAGCAAAGGCTGAATCAATCATCCCTAGAACTTTCTACCCTCTCTCCTTTCAACACAGACAGAGTTTGCTGCCCTGAGGCATCTGTGTGCATGGGCATCTGTGCACATGAATGCACAAAATCACCGAGAAACAAAAAGGAGCTGTTCTCTTTGTGACTCTGCCCTATGTTCTTAAGAATTAGTAGGAACTTCGTAAGTGAAGTCTACTGCTGAACCAAACTATGCTCTGCCACCAGACTGAACACACACTGATTTCCCACAAGGGAATATGATATGACTCCAGGTTAGATTACAGAAATGAAATGACAAAAATGCCACGAAATCTCAGTCATAACAATTAACTGAGCCCAGGATTCAATCAAGTCAAGTTATGGCACATAAAAGGGACTTTAAAGCTGACCGTCTTTAATCAACTAATTTTATTACTAATGAATTGTCAAATGCTATCAACAATTTAAAAAAGGACATATCAGAATTAGTAAGTCTTCTATAAAAAGCAACAACTGAGCACCTACTGCTCTTACAGAGACTGGAAATGATTACAGAATTGTTAAATGCTCCTACCTAAAATAAATAAATAAATCACGCAAAACTATATCTTCTTCAAAGAAATGGCTTGTGGACAGCAGATACGGGATGGCACTGGCATACACAGGGCAAGGAGATGTCAAAAGTAACTTATAGGCCAAAAACAATCAGAGAACTTCCATTTTCTGCAGTTCTCAAACTAGGGATTGCTGAAGGCTATTCAATATAGCATTATGAAAAGACTGCCATATGGCCCCAAACATATCTGTAAATGAAAATCCAGCCAGAAAGTTGTTGCGATCTGTTCTTCTGCCTCTGGTTTAGTGGTATCTACAGCCTTGATCAGGCTTCTCAATCCTTCTGTATCAGCCATTAAACAGAAGTGATAAGGATGTAATAATAATTTGCTCATAGAAAAAAAAATTAAAGGCGGTTCATATTTAGAAGAACACAAGTTAGAAAACAAGTCTAATATGTGCTTTGACTGTCAGGAGAATAAGTACAAGTTTGTAGCATAAAAAGGTATATATGAATATAACAGAACATCTTGCATTGGTGTGCTAACGAAAGCATAGCTAAAAAGAAACTGCTTTAAGTAACATGGGAAATACTGCATGAGGGTGGGAATGGAGATAAGACCATCTGTAAGAAGTCATCAACAGTCAAGGCTTAAACGTATCCTGCAAGGCAAAGGTTGCAGAGAAATACAGAAGAGCCAGCAAAAGCCTCAGCTGGATGACACTGGACCAGGAGAGATAACTCAAGGCATGTCCTGTATGTGTATTGTGTTTGTAAGCCTCGTAAGACATTTAGCCAGAGACATTATCAGGCAAGTGCCACATTTCTGGAGGAGTTCTGATCCTCTAAACTTGGGATTCCTTCCAACTGACAGATTAGCAGCGTTAATCAGACACTGCTTGTCACTGCCTATCTGAACTCCACAACCGTAACCTTGCTGTTGCTACCTTTTTTTAATAAGAGACAAATTTATTGGGAATCAAAGTGCTGCTGAAGCACAGCTGTCAGTCAAAAATACTCAACATCTCAGCTAGCTATAAATAACTTCCCATGAAGGAATAACATGGCTTTGACTGGCATAGGAACAATGTGAGGGTTCTCATGACCTTGTTTAACACTTTTGCCTTTTGCTTAGCATTCATAATTCTGGTGTGGACAGAGTTAGCAGGAGATACTTGCCAGTAAAGATTAAGGAACATTAGAAGATGGAGGCATTTGAGACTGCACTTCTACTGGAGGTAAAAATTCTCTCACAGCTATCCTATTTGGCAAGCAAGGAGAGGAACCACAAGTTCTTTTTGGGAGCTTCCCTCCAATTCCATCCAACACAGATTCTTTATTATTCAGAAAACTGGGGTCAGTGTGCCAAATTCCTTTCTTAAACTGTTTCTGCGATGGAGATGGTATGGAGCAACAGCTGCTGCAGTCCTCGTTCCAGGGCAGAGATGGATTTCATTTACACTGTTCCCAAGGACATGGAAGCACATTTCTGTCTTACATCTGTCTTACACTTCTTAAAGCTACTACAGTGTCATCATTCAGCTACACATCCAAATAACTCTGATCCCATCTTCTAGAGCTCACAAATTACAGCACCTTCTCTTTATTAGAAGGTACCTAGTTTTTGTATTAAAGATCTCAGTCCAACAAACTTCTTTATTGGTTCTGCTTGTACAAAGATTCCTCATATTGCATTCACAAAAAATCTGAAACCATTTTGCTAATACCATCTCATATATTACTGCCTCCCTATCTGTGCTTTTCCAACGTTAGGAAAGTACCTATTCTACAAGTAATAAGGAAGCAATACAGTCCCATCCCCTCTCTTGAGCCACCACTAACATGCACAGGATAAGCCGTATCAAACCAATTTTGCTATTTTTGCAGGGTCAGTTTAAGCTGCTGAAGAACCATACATTTTGTATCACAAAATCACAGCTTTCATTCATTTAAATGTAACACAGCATTAAGACAACAAATTAGCACTTCTAATTGCAAGTGACTGGGCAATTTCCAAGTTGCCCTTGCAGAGGAAAGATTATACCAGCTAAAAGGTACCAATGACCTTTAGTCATAATTTTCCTCCAGACATGAGTTTTCAATCCAATCAAAATGGACAGGGTAAGTAAGCCCCTGTTTTCCCAACCCAACTCTCCTGCCAATCCACCAGTAAAACTTAATGAAAATAGGATAAAACAAGCCACAAAACACACCTCCCACATCATCATCTTCAAAGTGCCTTCCTGAGTTATTCCACTGACGCCCAAGATTCAACAGTCAAACTCTACGAAAGGGCAGTGTGATATGAATTCATTTTCATTTACTACATACTTGAGTTGTTATCTCCAGAAAATTAACATTAATTCACTGCAGTCATTCTGCCAATTAGCTGTCATTTATCATAGCTTTTTTTGAAACTGTAGAAAAGGGAAGTCACTAAACTAGTGTGAATGGCCCAAACTTAAGAAACAGGCTTTGGAACTGAAAAATAATCATGCAGCACTAAGCTGAATTTCAGTTCCTTACTGTTTTTGTGGTGATGTTGCACCTCAGAGAAGCCCACAAGTCAGATGACATAGCACTATACATTTGTGCTGTCACTGCCTTAAAGAGTACCAAAATTGGTCCGAAACAAAATCCTTCAAAGGCAGACTGGGGAGGAGAGTTACATAGTTTTTGTGTTGAGAACTGTGAAGTTGGTGTAGTATTTCCCTCTTCTCTTGCACCCCTTCCACTCCCAACTGCATCATGGATTAAATTGTATGGAAGCCATGTCATGATGCCACACTGCAAACCAAGTGGAAACTAACTTTTTCTCATTGAATAATTTCTTGAAGCATTTTGAAAAGTGATTATACCTTCATCAAAGTTCAACTGTGAATTTGTACATTCAGCACCTGAAATGGCAAAATCTGTCAGAAGTAATCACTTTTCATTTGAAGTAGTTCAAGGGGCTTCTTCAGTGGAACACACTGTACCATAAATACAATTCACAGATATTCACTCACTGTAAAAGAAGAGGACCTCTTCATTAAAATCTCACGATCAAAACCATGGTGCCCACGGGTAAGCTTAGGGTCAGGAAACAGGAAATCTCTTGTATTTTCTTCATATGTAGCTAGAACATTTCCTACTAAAAAGAAAAATATGTACCTTAACTGGAAAATAGACAAAGTGACATAGTACAGACGCACACACAAGACCACACTGAGACTTGGTAAGCTTTGTTCTCTACAAATTAACAGCAAGGCTCTAAAACTCATATCACACTGGGAAATAACCTTATCAAGTTAAATCAGCAGCAATGTGCAGAATCTACTCTGAAAGTATGATTCATAATTACTGGAAAAAAATAAGTGAGATTGTCTTAACTGTTCTGTAAGAGACATATGAGAAGTCTTCTCTAGGCAATTCTTAATTAGTTTTCCCTTTTTTTTCACTTCCATGCCACAGAAGAAATCAGTATTCTTTTTTATGGCAGCAAATCCCTTATCAAAAGCTGCATCATTCCATACTGCGGAACAGTAGTAGTAATAGTGGGCACAGTAATAAGAAAGAAATGCAAGCAACATTCAAATAATTATCCCAAGGTTTTGTCACTATCCTGGTTTACTACTTCTCTAAGAAACCTGTTTTCTTTAGGGGAAAACCTTGAATGTATAGTACAAAAAAAAATAAAAATTGTGCTATTGCATTCATCAGCTTATGTTGGGCTGACCCCTGAAATGTAACTCCTTATGAAAGATCTTTTACCCACCCACAACAAAAATCTGTGTTTAGTACATTTCTACATGTAAAGAGCCTGGCAAGTCACCCAAGAGAAGAAACTGCTTCCTTGAAAGTACTAAGGACAGGAGACAGCCAGTGCTTTTAATACCAGTTTCCAAATGAGTCCTCTTTAAAACTTGACTTTATTTCCAATAAAATGCAGATTTACATTATTCATGGGAACACTTGAATTTCATTAAAATGGATTTTTATAATCACACAAACCAATAACGGAAGTATGACAAATCGCTATTTATTATCTTCACATATCCCAAGAGACCTGTAATACTTATAGTGAGGATAAGAGTTTTCCCAATGGTCACCATTAAAATGGAAGGAAAAAAAGTGCCATTCTGAGAACGAGATTATACACTCTGAAATTTCACAGACAGCCACTTTGCAAGTGAATTGTGATGCAGTTAATTAGTGTGCACTGGATGAGTTCAGTTTATTTTCCATTTTTAAAATATTATCACTTTCCTAAGCTTGAGTATAGTACATTTTAATATTCAGTTATTATTCTCTTTCAAGAATGAGATCCTCTTGATCTATTAACATTTTATATTCAGAGGACTATTTGTTGAAGAGCCTTCTATGTTGTTTGTGTCTTGGAAGAAGTGATTGTGCTGTAATGGGGCAATGTCCTCATGGAAATTCACCTATTAAACTGCATAATTTATGGAAGAGACTGATACAATACCTGGAGGAACAAGCTGTATTAGTTCAAGTAGTGTTGTGTCAACTAGAAAGGGAAAAAGTTTTTTCATGAGTTAAAATATGTAAGATGGAAAGTAATTCTCCCAGTCAAAACCCAAGAAAACTGGCTCACTGATTTAAGCTCCACAGCACTGTACATAGCTGAACTACCTCCACTACACCAACAATAAGAGGAAATTAAGAACAGCTTGCATAATACCACAGAGGAACACAATGGCATTAGCAGCATACAAATGACAACTCTAAATTTGACTTAGAACTTGGTAAGTCCTATCTGCTGCCAAGTTTGTCCTTCCTTTTAAAGATGAAGTAAACTTTGACGCCTTTCCATGTAACTCCCAATATGAAGGAGCATATTTGTGGAGTCTGAGTTCAGTGTTGTCTCATTACAATTCATTACGCTCCACATGTGGCAAGAGATAATTTTCTTAAGAAGTAAAATGAACAATTTTACAAAAAAAAACAAAGGTTTATGCTTATTTGAAAATTAATAATAATAATAATAAAAAAAGATCAGATACAGGAATCTGTTATCTATCTGGATAACCCGCTGCATTTTCCATTAATGATGACTTTTTACCCTTTTCCTGTTCTAAAGCATGTAGCACACATTTCTATAGAGGCATTTCATTAGATAACAGTATTTTGGGTAAGTCACTAGTATTCAAAGACAGAAAAAAAACTCTACCTGCACTGGCCAGGAATCTTCTGTTCTGAAAACCCAGTAATGTTACCGTTCTACTTAGTACATGATATATTGCATTGGTTACCCCTAGCTTTTCAGAGAACAGGATCCCGACAGAAAAATTATCACATACTTTAATCCCCAAAAAAGTCTTTGGAGCCTATACATGCATGACATTAATGCATACAACATAGTATAGATAAAAAGCAGAACCTACGTTCCAGTAACTCCACAAGGTCTCCAGGATCAACTATATCAGCAAATGTCTGGAAAAGAAATTAATAAAAAGTAATAATGGACCAAAGTAATCAGATAGAACTCTAGGGAAAAAGAAGTTAAAAAAAACACCTCTAAAAGACAATATTCTCCCTTGCCAAGATGGTTGCCAAGAGTCCTATCCCCACTGGTAAAAGAAAGGAAATTGAAATTATCATTTGGCACATGATCAAATTCATTGAAAGCTAGCAGCTCTTGTCATACGCTTTCTAGCCATTCAGGGTTAGCTCTCCATATTTAAATTAAGAGGTATTGTGAAGAGCTGAACACATAGAGATAAGTATTGTCTGAGAAAATTTTGAAAGAGAAAGAGAAATTGCTGAACGTACTAGAATTCTGATAGATGAAAAATATGTTCTTTAACATATTTACGCCTTGAGCTTTATTTCCATGGAAGTGACTATTCATGTACAGAGTACTGTTCAGGGCTTTTTAACCTGAATCCCATGTGAAATAGGTGGCAAGGAATAAGGGAGGATGATGCACTGGATACTCAGTAAGTAACAGATTTTCTTCTAATTCAGTACAAAAGTCTCAGCAGAGTGGTGCAGATCACTTTCAAGGTACCAGCCACTAAAAAACACAAAGTACTGGTGCTGCACAAGTATCTAGACCTGAGCAATAGCTATTTGTCAGAAGGCAGATATTCTCAGCTTTCTTGACCACCTCTTTTGTAAACAGATGGATCCTGGTGTCTTCCCCTAAATTAAACTGAAAGCAGTATTCAATACATCTCCCTTAAGCAGTCTGTGGTATGTTCGCCTTTAAAGAACTATGGTCTTTTCTACACTTCAGTAGCTGGTGAAATTATCATTGTTTGTATCTTACCCACATCACCAGAGCATCACTGATGTTTACTCAGTCTGGTTTTCGAAGTGCTGGGGGATGCTTAAAGGAAAAGAACTAGAAAGGGCAAAGTATTATTATTCATAGGTAGTCCAGAATCCAGATCATATCTGCAAGATACTGTGTTTCATTATCCCTGTGGTACTAATAATGAAGCTAGCAGGGACTCAGAATAAGTAATAAACAACTATAAATTAGAAGGCCATAGTACCAACCTGGGAATTCTGGTGACAAACCATGAGAAAAGTATCTCAAAGGGAGAAAGATGTCACCAAAAAGGCTTGAGTTGCTATTCTGTCTTTCTACTAAATTAAATTAACTCTCCTATATTGTGTAGCCTTTGTTCTTCAACTTGCCATAAGTTTTAAAACAACATTCAGTTCCTTCCAAGCCAGGAAAACAGGCACTGAGAATGGACAGTTCACAGAAGAATGAACAAACACTTATAAAGTCTCAACATACGTTATAATCTCTAGCATGCAAAAATCTTGAGTAAAACACGTGCATAACATACACACACCTCCTATGTGCTGAAGAAAAGCAGGCGTTATAATACTGTGTGTGACTCCCATCCTCAGTGTGACTGCTTGTGCCCAGCGGTTTTGCAGTTGAGTTTTTGTGGAGTTTGGGATAGGTTTTACTTGGCTTGTATTAGCTATTGACACTATCTTACCTTCTCAAATACTAGTTTTTCTTGAAAGAAGAGTGGAAACGCTGCCGGGACACATTGAGTTTTTTTGCGCTGCCCGAATACAGAGACACTGAGATAAAGCTCCTCTTTGACTTTCAGCAGCACTCCAGGGCAAGTTACCTGTAAGAGCAACACATTCATTAAACCACCCGAACTTCAATTACAGAAGTAATGGCTGTTTTCAAGACAAAAATGAAATGGTTGAGGCTGAAAAGGTTGATTTCCAAGAGTCAGATTATAACAGACTAGAGTGAAAAAAAAATCCTTTCTGAAGCAATTCTGTTTGTACAGACTGACTAAGAAAAATGATCACCATTTTAAAATAATCAGGACCAAATTCTTCTCACTGCAAGTAAACATACTCCAGTCTTCAACCACAAGTGAAACCTGGCATCCTAATCACAGGTTAATACGTTTAAGGCATAGACTAACTATACCAGAGTCAACCATCAAGGGTCACATGAGGTTCTATATGGAGTCATGTTGAATAAGGTCTACATGATGCCAAGATACAAAGAACCATTCAAATTTTAGTCTAGCTACAGGGAGAATGACACTGGTAAATGTACATGTTTAGACATTTGTACTCTGTTCAGTCACCAGAAAAGGCAAGTCCATTTGCAAACATTTTATTAACTTTGCCTTCTAATATGTAAATAAGAAAAACCAACTGTTCCGTTACTGTAGTGACAGGACAAGGGGTAATGGGTTAAAACTTAAACAGGGGAAGTTTAGATCGGATATAAGGAGGAAATTCTTTACTGTTATGGTGGTGAGACACTGGAATGGGTTGCCCAGGGAAGCTGTGAATGCTCCATCCCTGGCGGTGTTCAAGGCCAGGCTGGACGAAGCCTTGGGTGACATAGTTTAGTGTGAGGTGTCCCTGCCCATGGCAGGGGGGTTGGAACTAGATGATCTTAAGGTCCTTTTCAACCCTAACTATTCTATGATTCCATTAGACACTTACTTAGCACACAAAGCTTCACCTGAGAAGTTTGGCCAAAATGCAGGGTATTCAAGGCAGGGAAGAACCCTCATTAGTCTCCCTGATACTGCCACTTAACTTTCTCTGGACAATTCTTATTCTTTAAGCAAGAAGAAGTTGGTGTGTTTTGAAAGGTCTGATGAACATTAGATGTTCTTTCTTGAGTTTTCACTGCAAGGATGTACAGAACTTACTGTAAAACTATCTGCTGTTTTCTTCCCAGCCATGTGGTTTTATTCTATTAGCCAGCCAGAGAACTGTCACCTTTCAGTTCAGTTCTACTGTTCACTTTTTATCGCAATACAATAAATATGAGGTTATCTCTTCCAACATAAGGTTACTGGAGAAAGTGCTCAGACTTTCAATTGCCAGGTAGAAAGACAAAGGAGAAGAGTGACAGGAATGAAAATAAATTCTTTGCTTAGCTTCCTACTCCCAAATGAATGTTTTACTTGAGAAATTCTAACCAGATTTAAAAGAAAACTATATAAATAGCAGAAGAACAGCCTCAGGTGAAAGAAATACGAGAAATCAATGTGTGATAGGTTATTATAGATATAGTGTAAGAAAAAAAAACAACACCTGCTTCTACTCATAAAAATCCGAGGAGGAAAAAAAAGGGTTTCCACTCCATGTAAATGAGGGCTTCAAACCTGCAAAAGAAGTGCCAGAGTAATAGATATCCCAGTTGAAACAGACTGTCAAGCATGAAACAGCTTGTATGACACTCATGCAGTTGCAAGCGTGAATAGCAGGGCGTGAAAGAGACAGATTTCATTCATAGAAAGCAAGATCCTCCAAACTACATACTACATGTCATGTTAGCTTAGTTCTTGCTTTTCATCTTGACACTTCTGTAGAATTGACTATCATTTTTAGCTGGGGTTTCGTGCCTTTCACCTTAGAGAATGCAACCAATATTTGCCTATTTATTGAAATGAAAGGTTTGAAGACATCAGAGAGGACAAAACTGCAAATACCAGGTGCCATTTATTCTGGCTATCCTGCAAAAGAAGATTAATCCTTGCAAATTGTCATATGGGGCAAGATAAACCATGTGGAAACTTGTGCTTTTACTACCTTTGAGATAAACTGCACAATTTGCTGCCTCGCCTGGAACAACAGATCTACATGTTCATGTGACTTTAAAACAGCTCCAAAAACCGAATGACACATGTATTCCTGCAGTTCATGAAATCTATTTTGTAATATGTGATGCATGGAGCCTCACAACACTTAGGAGACAAACTGAAGCTCTCATCTGAGTGCAAACTGTTCAGGCAGGGACCATTTTAAAAACTGCCATAGTATTATCTATGGATTAGCTAAGGAAGAGGGATATCAATGCTGCAATTAACTGATCTTACTACTAGCCAGGAGGTCTATGATGAATGCCTAGGACAGCATTACTCTGGACTTCCCTGCAGCAGTTGCCAGGAGGATGGAAAATGTGTACTAGCCTTATTGTTGGGACATCACAAATAGCCATAAAGAAATCACTGAATTCACAGAAAGTTCCACCTGAACAGGAGAAAGAAATTTACTGTGAGGGTGACTCAGCATGGGAATATGTTGCCCAGAGAGGGTGAGGAGTCTCCTTCCCTGGAGATGTTTAAGAGCCATCCGGAGACAATCCTGAGTAACGTGCTCCAGGTGACCCTTCTAGCCTCAACCATTCTGTGATCTCATGATTCTACTGATCCACAACTCCCTATGGTATCCATTTGTCACATGCAGTTCTGAAACTGTAGCTGCCTATGTAACCAATGACAAAGGTAGGCCTGGAAAAATACCTTTAATTGCCCATTACCATCAAAACAAAGAGCTCCCTGTGAAGGGCCATGGCCAGTATTAACTTCTGCTGACTGCAAGCTTCCAGAAAGAACAGCATTTGGACTTAGAGTTGCAAAAATAATCTTCGTCATGTGAAGAGATTTTAGTCTCCTTACCTGACAGTAATCCACAATGCTATTAATTCACCTCAGTGCTTAAGCTTTACCTACCTTCCCTGCTGCATTTGTGAGTTCGCCATGTAGCAATGACATGAAGAATAATGTGAATTTCATTCTGTTCCTACATGAGCAATCTAAATGCCAGCAGCAGAGGAGGGCACCAAAATTAGTCTCAAAAAAACAAATAACAATGAAATCTCAGTCTGAGCAATCATGAATTATTCAATTTTAATTAATGCCAGGGTAAACCAAATAAGGCCTTTAACTGAAGTTTTCCATTTTAGAAGAGCAGCCTTTCAGAAATGAAAAAAACTAGCAGTAAGATAAACCAAAGAGCTGGCAGAGTCAGGCTGGAAAAGATCTGGGAATTTCAGTAAGTTAAAAGGAGCAAAATCCATCTGCATCCTAAAGTAAGGGAAAACCAGAGAGGACAGAACATCTGACACAAGTGGATAGGTTTCAAAGAGGTTTAAGAAATAGACAGAATGCTGTAAAATAATAGGAAAGGTAATCATAAATTTGGACTTTAGTCACAAACAAAGTAAACAAGGAAAAAGCAATGGAAGTAGCATAAACAACCAAGATATGAAAACTAACAAACCTATGTCCCAAAACCAACTGAATAATTTACCCTGGTTTTAATAATACTTAACACAGGAGCAAAAACCCAAACAACTTAAAGAATGAAATGATGGTAACAGAAGTTACCCAGTATGCCATAGGCCTGGACCAAGCAGCCACAAGGAGGCTGAATCAGAGCCTAAGCTCTGAAAGCATGTAATTTTTCTTGTGGAGTCTATACATAAAAAAAGTCTATGTTATGAAAACAAGGATATCACCATCTGTTGAAAAATAACAAATGCAAGGACCACGTGAGGCAGAAAAAGAGATCTGAAAAAATTTAACCCCATCAACCAGAATATTTAAATATATAAAAGAATAAAGATGTGAGGGAAAACATGACTAGAAAAAAGCCCAGCAGTGCATTTCATAAAAATAGATCAATCAAGCAACACCTGACAGCTTCTTGGAAAACCTGTTTCCTGGACAAAGGATATCATTCAGTGCCACACAAGAAAATTTTACTTATGATGCAGAAAATGGGAGTTAGTATGAAAGTCCTAAGGTGCTACAGAACTGTTCAAAGGACAGCATCACAGAATCACAGAATGGTTTGGGTCAGAAGGGACCTTAAAGATCATCTGGTTCCAGCCCCCTGCCATAGGCAGGGACACCTTCCACATCAATTATGTGCAAATCTGTCAGGCATCAATCTGAGGGTTACTATTAAAAATGTTGCTCTGTATATGCTGGGATCCATGTCTTTCAATATTTTAATGACCCTGACACAAAAAGTCAGAGTATCCTCATGACATTTTCCAATTAAAATTCAGAAATCACCAAAGGTCAACAAAATGTTACAGAAAAACCTGTTTTGTGGGACCACAGTGACAGAGATGAGATGTACTTACTGTGTATCAACAACAGGTTTTGGTTTCACTGTGGGGGAACTAACCTTCAAACGGGCTGAGGGGAAGATGAGTGTGTTAACAAATAAATGACAGCACAACAGCAGCACAGCTGTGAGGAGACTATCAGATTAAGAAATATAGGATGAATGTTGGACTTTTTTCCCTGATATAACATAAGCAACAGTGAGACCACATCTGGAATGCTGAATTCAATTCTGATCCTGATCAATGCAGTTTTAAGGAGGAAAAGTGGCACCCATCCCTAAGATGATCAGAAGACTGCTGAGTCAATCACACAAAACTACCAAAAGAACCAGGTCTTTCTAGCTAACAAAGATAGCTTGTGAAATGACAGAACTGCTGTTCAAAGATACATCAAGAGAGCAAACACCAAGGAAGGAAGAAAATTATTTAAGTGAAAGACCGGTGTTGATATTTTCATAAGAGTAGGGTGTCAACTAACCACAAGGAAATTCAGGCTGGAAAGCTTTCAAACCATCACAGGAGTGAAATGCCAAATTGTCTCTGTAGCTTTCCAGGAATCAAGTGGGCCTCTGCATTATGAACACTAACTGTTGGCACAGCAAAACAACACCATTAGAGTGCTACCCTCATAGTCTATGTGTAGAAATTCACAGCGCGGTTTCAGAGCAGCCGCACGAGTTTGGGAACAAAGGTGACTCAGCAATTGGGGTCCATTTCCCAGTATACACTTTCTGGACCTGCACCTAAATGTTTTGGATGGCACCTTGGGTTTTCCTTTCAGAAGCAAGTATTCTGACAACTCTTGCCCTGTGAGGAGGCCAGACCTCTGGATTACAGCAACCAGGGTGTATGAAGCCAACAACTCCAGAGTGACAGTTCACTGATTACTTCAGTTGCTCCTTAAAAGTTATCAGGAAAATGATAGTCATATTTACTCCTACGTTATATATCAGCAAAAAACTTTGCAAAGTGCACAAGGAACGGTCCTAACATGATTAATGGGAAAACTTTCCACTTTCAAACCTACTGACCTCACAACTTCCTTCAGGTACTTCACAACTGCCCAGTACCACATCCTACTCTCACAGGGAGCTCACCACTCACAGAGATGTATATGCCTTGTGTAAGATGCTGTTTCCTGGGATTTATTTTACTTCGTTCGGTTCAAGAGTGCTCTTCCCACACCGTACAGCTCCCCAAGAATCAGTGTCTCTTAAAAAAGCCCTTTAACACGGAAGTGAGGATGGTGAAGGCGCACGACTGGTGCTAATATCACCGGGGAGCCTGGGGACCGGCTGCCGGGGGATGCACACACAAAAGAGCACAAGTTGCCCAGGAGCCAGCTGGAGCTGAAGACCGAGGGCGACTCCCGCTCAGCTACAAAGCCCAGACCGGTCTCCCAGTAGAACCACCAGGCCGGCAGAACAGGGGGCGGCGGGCGGCAGAGAGAGGTGAAGCGGGGCGGGAAGCGGCACCGGAAGGGCAAACCGAGGCTTCTCCTCCAGCCTGCGGGCCGCCGAGCCCCGGCTGAGCACGGCGGGTCCCGCGAGCCGGGCACTCACCGAGCGGACGTCCAGCTGCAGGACGCAGAGCAGCGCTTTCCGCGGCATGAGCGGCGCGGCCCAGGGGGTCCCAGCCCGCCCTGGCTCGCCCGCGCCGCGGGGCCGACGCCGTCGTCACGGCAACCGCAGCACTTCCGGCGCCTGCCCCACCCTCTGGCGCCGGTACCGCCTTCCCACAATGCCCTGCGAGGCCTCGCCTATCCTTCCCACAGTGCTTTGCGGTAATGGCCGCTCGTGCGGCGGCCATATTGCGGTGTCTGTGATGCTGCTGGCCTCCCTACGGTCGCTGCCCTCGCTCTGCTGACCACAGAGCTCTCTGTCCTTGTACACACAGTATGCGGTTGTGCGGCCCTCATTGCTGTTCCTACAGAACGGGCTGTTCTGGCACTTCCCTCAGGGCTGCTGTGGTGCTGCTGGGGTGTATGGGAAGCGGACTAATTCCCAACCCCTCAGCGTCGGGAGGGACAGTTACACTCATGGGTGCTGTGTTGCGGATGTACTGCTGGTGCAAAAGCTGAAGTGGGCAGTGAATCAGGCCGCATGTGAGCAGTGGTATTGTGGGGTATCCAGAAGGAGCTTGTGATAACGTCTAATACCTCCAGTTGCTTGGTCCTACTGCACAAAGGTACCCAAGAGCCTTACTTCAAAAAGAAGGGAAAACCAAGTTCTACACAGTTCCTGGGCTGAATAGCCAAAAGCACTGAATTTCAGTGTGTAAAGTCTTGTGGGACACAGAGTGAACATGATATAATCTGGCCAGTCCATCTTAAGAGTCTTGTCTCCACACTCCATACCTGGAACTGTCTTTTCAGGCCTGCCTTTCTGTTACCATTACTAGAGTCATTCAAATTTATGCTGTTGATCTTGAGCACCACTGTGATTTTACCAAGGCTATTCACCAAACTCTTTGCTGCTACGTTGTTCTCAGAGTATTTGCAGTGATGTGTAACACCAAGTCAGTCTGACTTCAAGTTTTGGCAGCTTCTGTGCATCTCGGTCTCAGGCTGTGAGGGAGTTTACGCACTGAAATACTCTTAAAACTCACACGTACAGCTGTATAAAAGGGAGGAAACCGAGCCTCAAACTTTGGTTGCCTCCAAAAGAGAGCAGTGGCTCAAATGCATCCCATGGATTGGTTTATTTTAATGTTACCATGTCAGAGAAAAATCGTACTGAGTGATACAGAAAGCTACTGCTGCAGTCTGGAAAGAAACAGCATTCTCAAAATCGTTGAATTTTGATATTTATTTTTTTAAAAGGAGACTAAGCAAAGAACAGAATATGCCAGTGCAGAGAAAAGTGAACTCTATAGATGGATTAAATACCACTGCTAATACCTGATACCAGTCTTTTAACATAAAGAAATGATTGGGAATGCAGGCTTTATTTTTAATAATGGGGCTTTTTATTTTCCTATCTAAGCAAAGAACAGAACTCTGGAAAAGACCTGGAAAAGACTCATTTTTGAATCACAGACCTGTAATAGATATATTAAGGAGGGCTTGCCACTTGGATGTAATAAATTTCTATGTATCATCAGCCTCAAGGTTATGAATAGCATTCCAGAGTTAATGAGAAAAAAATTCTCGAAGATCCATAGCTTCAGATGGGAACAGTATTAATATGGCTTATTTCTTATTTTTGGTTACCTTTCACATACATGCTTTTTGAAGGGGTAAGTAATGTGTTAAGGATTGTAAAGTATGAGGTACTGTGGTAAGTGTGGCCATATAAGAACAGGAGATAGATAAATGCTGAAATCAAAAATGGCATCATGTTTGTGATGAAAATTTAATATCCATGTGCAGTGCCCTGGAACAGAAGTACTTTATAACCCTTGAAAAAGGAGCACAAGGCAGGACAGAAAGCTCCTCTGAAGTGATAAGGCAGCGATGAATTTCAATGCTTTTCCTTGGTAAGTCAGGGAAAATTTGAGGTAGACTGGAGAGCAATGCAGTCTGCACAGAGACGCTTCTCCATCCCTCTGTCTGCAGAGCTTCTGCCACTTCACCCCACTGGGTCCTGGAAAGAAAGGCTGCTGCTGCAGTGCTTTTCCTGTCCAGCCCTTTCTGCAGCAGGGGGACATCCATCTGGACCTTCTCATTCTGTTGGAATGCACAATTTATTTTTACATTTGCACTGCAGGAATTTGGGGGACAGCAAGGGAAACTCTGGCTTTCAGCATAAATCCATTTGCTAATAGGCAAAACTGATAAGCAAATCCACAGAAAGTGCATGCTACTTTAATAGACCTGAGGTTTTAACTGCTGTAAAGTTTCCTGCTGTGAAAGCATATGAATTCCTTTGCTTTTAGAAAAGTAAATCTGCTTGTAACGCTACTTATGCTTAGTTCCATGTAATAAAAAAGCCTGGATGACAGCTTTGCATTATGCTAAGGTTTTTGCAATCTCCTCCATTTGAAAGCTTCATCCTTTTCTGTCCTCCAGGCCCTCCAACATGCCTGCTATGGAAGAACCCTGTTGTCATCAAAATATTCAATTCTGCTCCTATTTCTGTCATTACAGATGAAGAGTAACTGTCAAAAGAGTGAGGTTGCACTGATTTAATGCAATTATCACAAGATTTGTACCTTATTGTTGCAGTGCTGGTGACTGTCAGGCCTCAGGAGTTTCAATGTATGAAAACTTGCTTCAAAATAAGTAAAGTGAGGAAAACTGGGAAGAGTGAGGTTTGCAAACAGTGGATATTCTGAAGTGCAGGGTCTGTAAAATTACGTGAATTAGAGTTAGTTCATATAAGATGGAGGTCAGTGAGCAAGTCTAACATGACTGCATTTGTCAGGAGTCGCTTTCGGCTAAGAAGCAAAGAATGATTTTCTCCTTAAACTTAGGAAGTGTTCTTCTGGGTGCAAAGTGGCATTGCACAATCATTCTGGCAATAAGAATGAAGGAAATAAAGGAGCTTTCCACAGTTTTCCACCCTCTGCTGCAGTTCTTACGGGTGTTGTCAGAGAGCCATTTCTGCCTACTTCAAACCCCTGATGTTGACAGAGCTGCCAGAAGAGACCTCTGTCTTACTGCGCATCCTTTATTTAGATATCACCAAGTATGAGTGTCTTGTCATTAATAACTGTGGAGAATTCCAGGAAGACATCTGCTCAAATAACAGCAATGAATTATGAGATATGGAAAGATTTCCATATTAGAAAAGGCAAACAAACAAACCATTAAGACTGTTTTTCTTTGGAGAGGAGAAAAATAAGATGTAATACAAAAGAGGTACATAAGGGATTAAATAATATGTAGAAATGGGTTCTTCTATTTATCCATGCCTATTTATCCTTTCAGAGGACACATGCAATGAAATTAAAAGACAACACAATCAAGACTGATAGAAGAAAGTACTTTAGATAGTGGAACTCATTATAACAAGATACATTCAGCAGTGTTTAAAGCAGAATCAGAGCACTGTAGGGAATGCCATAGGAGAATACCCACATCCATTACTTATTTTGATCTCCCTCTGGCTGGGTTAAATGTGCAATTTGCAAGTCAGTTCCTGTGCAGAGAACCATAGTGCAGGAAAACAGGCAGCAGAAGTTAAGACTAAACAATCCCAGTTTGCTATAGAGTAGAGCTGGAAGAATTTAGTAATGTGAGAGGTTCTAATAGGAGCTAAGAGGACCAAAGTGATTTGCATTACTGCATACAGTAATGTAACGGGAAGCTAGAGTGTAAGATTATTGGTAAGGACAGAGGATGGAGATTACCTGAGAGTGTCAGCACACTCTTTGCAAAATAAGTTTTCATCTAATCTTTCTACTTTAAAGCAGGAAAAAGTTGCCCAGAAGTTACCATTCATTAATATCTACTGCTTTAGAAAAAACACACAATGGTTTTGTGTGTCCTGTTTTACTGAGCGCCTGGCTCTTTCTTAATGTGCAAGGACACAGCTGGGCAGAGCTGTAGGTTTCCTTGATGAACCTACAAGTTGCTACAGGCAAAAGGCCACCTGCTCGTGGCGTTATATAGGTGAAGCAGTGACCTTTCTTCCCTGTGCCCTCCCAGTCTCACTGGTGCCTATTGAAGAGCATTTTTCATTACACATCTGGAGAAACACAGCGCTTCTCTAACATTTCAGTATGGCTCAGCCATGAAAGAGAAATTCCTCTGTACTGCTGCTAAGCCAATATGCTCTTTAGTGGATGTGACCATTAACTTCACTGATTCTTGATGTAGGTCATGCCTGCAATAACAAGAAAAAGGCAAGCTAAAGACTCTGAGGTTTATCTGTTTTCCAGTTCTGCTAAATTCTGTCTTGGCTGGCTGCAGGTAAAACAGAAATCAAATCTGATTTGATTACAGCCACTAGAGGAATATTCCAGACGTTGAATTCAGTTGTCCTAATTGGAAACTTGCATTTTAAAGGAATGGTCTAAATTAATCTTTGAGATAACTTCTGTGGATACAGTCTTAAGAATTCAAAAATGGTACAGATACAATCAGCCAAGACAGCGTTACCTTTGTACCCCTAGACAGTTCCCGGGCTCTCCCTTACTCAGTCCAAAAGAGTAGCACTTTCCTTTGTGTTTTACATTGAAAAAATAAGTGTCTTAGATAAAGACATTGCCCCAGTGAAGTTTTTGACTGAAACAAAATTCTTCTAACCAAGTTATAAACCCCTGAAAATAGGGGTTTATAATGGGACTGCTGATAGACCCTTAACAATAGCGTTGTGAATGGCGCTGCTATAATTAATGGTACTTCAGAAAGATTTATGGTCCTTAGACAGAGATAAAACAGAAATATCCTTTGCTTCTTTGCCTCCCATCATTTTATCCTCTATGAAATTTTATGTGAAATAAGTCAAATGAAAAATGTAAGCTCTTAATCTTTTCCCAGAGTCCTGTCTCTCACTTGATGAACACTTTTGCAGAATAAATTAGAGCTTTTATTCCTTATGCCTGTACAGCTTTGTATTTAAAAAGCAAAGAGAAGAATATTGTCAGGTTGGCAAAGCAACTCAAGATGATGGTCATGGAGGAAGCCGAAATCACCACCTACTCTAATCCATTCCTCTGCCATCCCAGAAACAACAGCTCTGATCCAGCTGGCTTGGAAGTGTACAAAAAGGCACCTGTATTCTGCATTGAAGAACCATCGCTCGCAGAAGGTTAGCTGTGATGGCTCCAGCTGCAGCAGC